ATTTCGTTTCTCTATGCATTTCATTCGAGGATAATTGACGAGATTAGCGCAAAACCTAACTTTGATGATTGCTGTAATTACGTCACATAATGGCCAATTAGGTGAGAGAAGGGGGACGAAACTGATGGCGCGTTGAGGGGAGGTCGGTTCCGGCCTAATGGCGCGCGGAGGGGAGGTCCAATGATCAATGCACACGTCACAAATTTAATAAGATTTTTTAATAAATTGCTCGCACCTGAAGTGTTGAGAATTAGAAATTCAAATCGTTGCTTTTTAAATATCTCCACGTCTGCATATAAAATCGTGCACTTCGTGATGATTTTAAATCGGAGCATCTTCCGCTCAGAGCAAACGTGATTGTTGCAGCCTTCTATCATTTCCTACCGGGCCGAATTAAAAATTATATACCATCTGTGGTCTAGTACAAGTTATTTTTTGACAATAGTGGGAATGACGGGAGTAAGATGTATCGGTCGGTGACTTTGCTTTGCGGCTGCTTTGTGTGTCCGAAACCTTGGAAATCGCAGACAATAACCGAAGATCAATTCTTTAGTTATGGAACTTTGTTACAAATGAAGGGCATGTGTTAGGGGTTGCTTTGTCCTAATAGCAAAGGAACGAGCCACCAGGATGAATAGTTTCATTAGAGACGAGTTCTTCGAACCAGATTTTGACTTCTTTTCACCGATTTGCCTCCTCATCGTCGTGCAACCGAACCATTAATAAACGCATTAACGTGTCGATATCATCGAAATTTCCCGCCTACTTCGATTCAACATTCATGATTCTGCCGTTTTAAACAAACATGGCGACAATTGACGTTACAATAGGTTGTGAGTATGTAGACGTGCCCTTCGGTAACATCTTCGAGTTCAAGAGGTTAGACAGAACCACTTCGATGGTGCACTTTGTGTAATTTGAACGCCCACACGTAGTGCTTCTCTAATGAAAAGTCGCTTTGTAATGCAACTAATCCAACTTAATGCCCTGAAATAAAAATGGTAATAAATGTAGAACGCAGTCTTTAGAATTTTTGATGGTGATTTATCGGTGAAACTTCATGTTAAAAAGACGACTTCTTTTTGTATGTCGCTTCACCGGACACCATAAAATCGGAATGACGGTCATCACTCAACTCCGGATGATTAAAATCACAAAGACTCGCGTGTGGTTGGCATTAAAATTCTTTCGTTCCTCTAGAATTGTTATTGAATTTTTAGAACGATTCTTTAAATGTGGCAAAAGACATAATTTTACGCTTCTTGCCGATGTCCGAGAAGACCAAATTGTGACAGATGACGCTAAAACGAAGAAACAAATCGGAATTATCTTGCTAAAAAAATCTGGTGTGAACATCACACGACTTTCCTTAACCAACTTATTTGGAAAACATCCTTACGGTGTTGGAAATCCGAGTAGCAATAGCATAGTTGCCGCGGGTTTGAGTCTGGGGTGCAATTTTTTTTAGTTTGGTACCCATTATTATTTTTATTTTATCACATTTTACTGTTTAATAAAGTATATTTCATGATTCTAAATAATTTTTATCCCCATCTTCAAACGTATAATTTTGCGGCCGCTTTTTGGTCTTTGAAGCCGAACGGTGCGACCGATTTTTACCAATTGTTTCGTGCTGCGTCCCCTACCTCCAGTAACTTACATACCAAATTTCAAGTTTCTAGCTATTATCGTTCTCGAGATATGCTGTTTACAGACAGACACACACACACACGACCCAATGGCCCAAACCATTGATTAACCAAATACAGGCTGTTCCGTTTTTATTATTACAAATTTAAACAGGTGATAGGATATTCAATTCTAAGACAAAAGTTTCCTATAAACATGTATCAAAAATTCTTGGTAAGAGAGCTACACCCCGTGGAAGGGGACTAATATGTTTTTGCTAATATTTCAGAAACTATTTAAGATAAAATTACAAAATTTGGTACAGATGATAATCTTTATACACCTAAACGAATTCAAACATCAAATGTCGAAATTTTTAATCAGGGGTGTACGAAACTGGGGGAGCTTAAGGTAAAAAAATACTTTATTTATTTTGGCCTTAGTTTCTCGGTACTTTCAGCAACAAAATCTTAAGTTCGATAGTTTATCACAGAAAAGTCTCTTGTGTCGATACGACTTATTGTTTTTGAATAAAATTAATTTAAAATTTATGTTACACACCAATACAACATTCAAGTAAATCAGAATTTACAGAATAATAAAAGCAAGAAATTCATATTTTTAATCAACCCCAACTAATTAACATTACATTACAGTAACAATAATAACATTAATTAAATGAATTTGCCTAAATCTAAAGGAGTTGTTCAAAGTGACCACCATTTTGCATAACAAAAGAAACTAAAGCCAAAATAGATAGGGTATTTTTTTACCCTAAACCCCACCAGTTTCGGACGCCCCTGATTAAAAATTTCGATATTTGATATTTGAATTCGTTTAGGTGTATAAAGGTTATCATCTGTACCAAATTTTGTAATTTTATCTTAAATGGTTTCTAAAATATTAGCAAAAACCTATTAGCCCTCTTCCAGGGGGTGTAGCTCCCTTACCAAGCATTTTTCGATACATGTTTATAGGAAACTTTTGTCTTAGAATTGAATATCCTATCACCTGTTTAAATTTGTAACAATAAAAACGGAACACCCTGTATATGGTTAATCAATGCCCAGGATATTAGGATTATAGGATAAGGAAAGTAAAAATAAAAGCGTCTCTAGAAGTTTGAACCAAGTTCAAAGGAAATTTAAATTGGACAAATTCTCCCAAAGGAATTTCCTCCCTCACAACACGAAATTGTTTCCTTTCATCTTTTTTCATATCGTGCAATTTTTCATGTGAAAAAAACAAATCTTGCGGTAAAATTACAAAATAATAATGACCACAAATGAAGGGCAAAACGGCCATTCAGACGTTCAACCTTATAAATTCTCAGCAGATGTTTGCGTATCCTCTTAGAATCAGTCAAGACCATTGTGGAATATTGATGACTTTTTGTGGGGCGTAACTAGAGGCTACTGCAAATTTCGTAACACTTTTTCTTGATTTATAAGTCTAGGGTGACTTTGTATGGATCCAGTGCACGATCCTAATAGAATAAAAAATCGGAAAACATTTAATTCAAAGACTTTTCTCGGACCGTTTTTCTTTTATAATACAAACGAAACGTGCCCTGTCACACCCCCTACGATGACTTATGAACGGAATCTTGGCGGTTAGTTAATGGCCCCACACCCCCCGGGACACGTATAAATCCCTGCCTCCCTATGAGATCGTTGATGAGTTTCAAAAAGCAAACCCTAGTTTTATACGAGTTTTATTACTTTACGCAAGATGCTTCGGATTATTTCTTAGGAAGGAGAATGTTGGCACGTCCTCAACGCGTTATTAATTCTCATAAAGATGGTGCAAAAAAGACAAGTTTTTAAAACAACTTCTCATGACGAATCGAGAATTAAAAACGAAGGAATAAATTCTGACGGATTTTTACGTCTCATTAATTTTGAAAATTAGATAAACGAAAATTGCAGACTATTACACAGATAAAATGGATATTTTTTAAATAAATAAGAAACAAAGAATATTGAATTCACAGACGAAACCTCATTATTGTGTTATAAAAATAAAACTGAGCTTGAGAAATTAAGTCATTATGTATGTACAGTTGCGGAATTAAAATTTCGGGCAGTATTTTTCTGTCACGTTAAAAATTCACTGTAAACTTCCTCTTACTGTCATCGTGACAGACATTTGACAATTAAACGTTTTTTTTTGTTGTTAAAATTGTTAATTAAACAATTTGTCTGTCTTAGGAAATTTATTAATTGAACTAAATGTAATTAAATCATCGCTTTGATCTGTTATCTATCCGTTATTATGCCACAAATCACTATTTTTGAAAGTAAATAAGTCTAAACGACATAAACATGACAAGAGTAAAAAATAAAGTTATTAATGCAAAGGTTGTTTTAGAGTTTACATTATGAAGATGACAATACTGCCCGAAATTTTAATTCCGCAACTGTACATAATTATAAAATTGTACACTTCTGTGCAATAAAATTAACCCCACAATATTGGACTTAATAAAATGTGCCTATAGTAACAAAAATATGTAATGTAATTTTTTGTTAATGTCAAAATGCCGTCTTTAGAATTAAAAAAAGTTCTGTGTTTCAGAACGATTTTATAGTGTTTCATCATTTTTATTGAAAGAAACGGTTGCTTGTTAATTAAAATAGCCTCAAATTATGTAGGTAACTAAAACATTTTGAAAAATAGTAATAAAACTTGTGCTTTATTTTATTGCACAAAAGTGTAAATACAATAGCATTTATGAAATTAGCATATTAAAAAAAAAACCTTTCATATGGTAAGTTGTAAAAAAACTAAGTTAAAATTGGTCTATTTTACCTGTCTTCCGCTCCGCTCCATACTGCCAATCTTATATTGAATTCTCCTAACCTCAAAAAGTCGTCCGGTTACTAGGAAAAATAGCGTCATTTACCTGACAACTTAAATATCACAAACATTTCAAATTTGACAATTTTTGTCAAATTTTCAAACATTCTTTCAAAAAGTTCAAAGATCGTTAAGAAATGTTTAGTTTGTGGAGAAAATAGTTATTTTTGTAACAAATCCTTATAATACAGTTTTTGCGGACGTATCGTTGCTGTTTCCGGACGAGGCCAAGCCGAGTCTGTAATAGCAGATGAGTCCGCAAAAACGTTTTAGGTACGTGTTACAATAACATTTTTTTGATAAAGCTCACAAAAAACGAATTTACACCTCTTCTTAATTAAAAAAAAATTCAAATGAGTCTCTAAAACAGCCGTTTTCGAGAGCGTATACAAAAAAGATTCTTTAATATTTGAAATACCCAGCGATGTAGCAGCTTCTCTGCCACCTTCATAAAATGTATGAAATCTAATACAGGTTTCTTTCAAACACTTTATTACAGGTTTCGTCGTTATCGACAATTTTCTTTAGATAACGTCACTTTGGTCACTTGTCAATGTCAAAATTTAAACAAACGTCAAATTTAGTTATGAGTCACAATCAATAATAAGAGAGCAAAATGTTTAACTTTTGGTCAAAACCTGACCCTAAAGGTAACCAAAATGATCACTTTTTGTCAAAATTTATGAAAAATGTTGTAGAGGAACAACGTCAAGCCGATCGTCAGTTGAGGAAAGTGGGGCGCGATTTAGAAAGGGACCGTCGAGAGCTCGATAGAGAGGAGAAAAAATTGGTATGAAAGATGTCCAATTTTAATAAAATCGACTTTAGGTGTGATTACAGGAAGCAGAGATAAAAAAATTAGCAAAAGAAGGCAACAATGAAGGTTGCAAATTGTTAGCAAAACAACTTGTGCAATTACGCAAACAAAAAAACAGATCTTATTCAGCTAGTAGTAAAGTACGTGGAATTTCCGCCCAAAATAAGGCCATGGGGGCTAATGTCAAACTGGCAAATGCCATGGGTGTAGCGGGAAAAACCATGTCAGACATGAACCGTATTATGAAACCTGAACAAATTGCAGCTAATGTGAACGCTTTCACTAGAGAGTCCACGAAAATGGAAATGACTGATGAAATGAGTGAGTTTTCCCCATTTGAAATTTTCATTATTGTCAATTATTTGTGCAGTAAATGAATCCCTGGATGATATTTTGGCTGAATCTGGCGATGAAGAGGAGAGTGATAACATCATCAGCCAAGTTTTGGACGAAATCGGTATTGAAATCAGCGGGAAAATGGCAGGGGCTCCTTTACCCGAAAAGGGAAAAATCGGGGAAACCTCCAAAGCGAACAGTGGCCTTACTGATGAAGAAATAGAAGCACAATTGGCGAAGTTGCGAGCCTAATTTTTATATTTTCAAACAAATCAATGTTGTAATTATTTTTTATTCACATAAATACAGTTAAGTAAAATTAATTTTTTGAGCATGGTTGCGTTAAAATAAACTTTGGTATATACATTGAAGCGTCAACAATTACATACATATTTACAAATCAGGCACTTGATTCTAATTTAAATCAGGCGTATTTTGCTTACTGCTACGTAAATTATATCGACTATGAGTTTCAGTCACGTTTAAATGATTTTTGAGATACGTTTTTCGACCTCTAATCCTTTCCGAATAGGTGGAACTGCTACTCTCATCTAAATCAACATTACTTTTCTTTAAAAAACCGTTGCAATGCAGACTTTCATTAATAAAATTAATGTCACTCTTTGGAGTGCGCTCTCTAAAATTATTATTAAAACTTTGTAGCATCTCTATAATTTTTGCATTTTGTTTGCTAATCATCTGTAGGAACTTAATATTTTCAAGCATCATATCCTTGTAATTATAAGAATGGTAAAGTAAATAAAAAACTAATACAAAAATAAAAAAGTAGCGACAATACCAAACGTACGAATAAATATCGTCATATAAAATTCTCGTATCAACCAACGAATCATCAGATATTAAAATATAACAAATAAAACGTTCGATAACTAAATTCGTGCATAAAATCAACAAAAGTGGCAATCTCGCACTTGCCGTCCGCTTAATCGTCGTAAAAATAATAATAAATAACCCTGAAATCACATAAAATAAAATCGAATCAAACCATGAAACCTCTCCAATAACCCATGTTTGAAATTTCGCGATACTCCGGGTCAAGACACCTAAAATTTCCTGATGCGCTTTCGTAGAAACGTACAAATCGCCCAAAACCTCCTCTAGCATTTTCTCATGTTTTAAAACCTTCCTCTGAATCTCAAGACTCTCCTTCTGGGCCTCTAACAACTCTTCTTGATTTTTTGCCGACTCTTCTAACCGTTTCCCGACTTTAAAACTATTCTCACTGATCGTTTCATACCAAATTTGACCCCTTAAAAACCAACAAATATTCTGAACGTGCGTGTAAAACTCCGTATAAACGTTAAACGCCCTATCCGACATACTGTTTATACAAATACTTCGCAAGTTCGGTTTTTTGTCCAATTCACAATTGTACGTTTCGTGGCCCGACATTTCGAGAAAACAGTTGGTGATGTGGAGCGCCATATCACTTTGGGTGTCTTCGGAGAGGTTCTTGCAACCGTCTTCGACGTGTTCGAGAGCCCCTTTCCAGCAAGTTCCGTATCGAGGTAGATTGCCTTTTTCCCTGAGAAGTTGGTAATGGGCCCGGCCCTGTTCGATCATTTCTTGCGAGTCGTTTCCATCGACGAAAATGTCATCAAAGGCCAAAGCGCACACTAATACATATACTATGAACGTTTCGAGCACCTTTAGCAACATCGTCGGTCGTTATTTTGAAGGTTTGTTTATTTAGGTTATGTTCAAGAAATTGACAGGTGGCCTGCTGGTGGTGGATACGCCAGATTGGTAGGCAACACACCATTCGCGCGTGTGCGGTTTTGGCCTAACAATTATTATTTTTTGTTGACAGTATTAAAAATAAATTAAGTTATTTTGTTATCAAGCGGTTATAACAGTAATGAGATAATCCGTTTCCGTATCAAAAGAAAAATAATGTTTTGAAAAGAACCTCCCATTGTTTGAAAGAAAAAAAAAAGATCAATGTCAGAGTATTGTTATTTTCTAAATTAAATTAGCAAATTAGTAGATAGTTACTTCTTTGTTACGTAATTTAATTTGTCCATTTGTTTGCAAAAACAGTATTTGGAAGCAGTTCGGGCAAGCAGGTGATGAATCATTTTGTTTTGATCACAAACCAATGATGTTTGTACGTTTTTCATTAAACTTCACATAGGTATTGACACATTAACCTGTGACTTTGAAATTAAGTTGTCAATACTGAATTATTGTTGATACTAGATTGTGACAAGTGACAGCCATGTCAGCAACTCAGCAACAACCACTCTGAAATGAATATGAATGACATTTAACTAAAAAGTGTGACGTTTGAATTTTGATAGCCAATGTTGCCAACTTAATTTCAAAGTCATGGGCTACTTGATATTTGTAATGAGTAATGAGAGAGTTTTAATTTTTGCTTTTTCTTGTATATCGAGATGTAACTATAATAAAACGAGTGAAAGCACTACAAATCTAGTATTATAATGTAATCTGATTTTTGGTAATTACATTTGGTATTGTTTGTGGAACGGACAGGAAGTTGTAATACTTAGGTAATTACAATGATAGGCGTTTACACAAGTAGTTAAAAAGAGGATAAAATCGTCAAAAAAACTGCATTCGCATAATATTTAATAATACAATTAAATTTGATTTATTTTGAATGACAATAAGGCACCTTAAAATCGACTGTAACTGGCGACTTTCTCGGTTGTCAAAATTAGTGTTAAAACTGCATTAAATTCACTTACATTTGACTGATAAAAATTAACAACAAATATGACAGTTCATTTGAATTTTTGTAATATATGGCTTGGTTCAGGGTTGACACAAGTGAAAAAATTAAAACTGCCCACTTAGACTGATAAAAAATAGTTATTTATTATACAAAGTGATCCACAATGACTGAATATGTTGGCAATCCCTAATTTTTAAAGCTTACTATTAGAGTACGATTTTGATTAAAAACAATTCAACAATCTTGTGGGGTTGTAAGTATTTGTCAAGGAAAACCGTATCCAGTCGCAGTGTTTCAAATTATTAACAAAAATACTTTCAACAACAACAGACTCAGTCTTTCTACAAGACGATAATAGTATATTAAAGTACAAGTTGCATTCAAGCACAAATTTGAAATTCAAAAACGAGCCGCGAAGCGGCGAGTTGAGGAACAAATGAGTGCTTGAAGAAACTTCTGCAACAAGTGCTTTATACTATTTTTTCTATTTCGCCGCTTTATATTATTTTATAAATTAAAAACCGAAAATTATTTTTTTTTCTAGAGAATTGTGCGACGGTTGGCGACATTTATGTGTGGAATAATTTTAGGCGGCTGTAAAAAATAAAAATTCTTATTTTCACATTTGAAAATGAATTGTGAAGAAATTCCGTCACTAAAATTAAATTACCGCGAACGACTTATTCCAGCACGCAAATGACGTCATTTGGGTGCTGGAATAGACCTATTCTAACACCGAAATAGAAAAACAATCTTTATCGTCGTGTATAATATTTCGTTTTATTTTGTACTCACCTACCAGAATTTCTTGAATATGAACAGTAGATAAAAATTACTTTACTTCACTAGACAATAAAAGACTACTTTATCTACTGAAGTAAGTATTGAGTAAGTACAAAATAATAGGACTAAATGGCTTTGTTTTTTTCAATTTTCGTTATTTTTCCTTATTTCTGCACCACTTTTGGGAAGTAACTGTTGTTTGTTGTGCAGGAATATAAGCAGTAAATATTTTCATAAAGTATTCATTGACGTATTATTTTACCACGGTGCATGTGAAAATTTTTTAATAAATAATAGAAGGACAAACTTACCAATGATAAATCCAAGAAAGAACAAGTGTAATGTTCATTATGCACTAGAAATATAATAATAACTGAATATTTAACAATAATTTGCACTTTGGTATCTGCTATCCAGTAACGGGAATAAAATCAATTACAATCGATCACAACAATAATATCAAGTCAGCGGTCATGCAGGATGACACCCTTAAAAAAGTAAATTATATAAAGTAAATTTCAAATTGGCAAATCATAAAAATAAAAGTTATTGTCAAATCAATTTTCTCTGAAAAAAAAAATAATTTTTTAAATTATGCGAATGAGAACTATTTTTCATTTAAAGTTTGATAGGTTTTAAAAATATTAGCACTGGAGTTGGTGTCTCTGATTTGCAACCCGTGAAATTTAATTTATAACCAATGCTTTTTTCTCTTTAATTAGTCGAAACTAATTAAAAAATATAAAAATGATTGATATTTTTTCCGACTTGCATTTATGCACTGCAGTTTCAAGGATTTTCTTTGACGTGCTTGCTGTTTGTTATTATTTCAATCATCATTCTGTGCTATCCTTTTAATGACTGTATTTTATATTCCAGAGAGAAGACTTAAAAAATGTGTATTTCATCCTTTGAATTTAAAAATATATTATAAAAAAATACGTTTACGCCTTGTTATTATTCACTCAAAATGTCAAATTAAGGGTGTTTTCAATATTTCAATAAATATTTTTAAGTAAAAGCAATTATTCTTATTTTTTATTAAAAAAAAGTTGCGAACGAACCTATTAGAATATTTATCGAGAAAACTCTCTTGAAACAATATTGCGTATCAATTTTCCTGATCTCTTGCAATAATTACCATTGAGTCACTTAACAATATAATTATTATCGCATGTAATAAACACCATCTCAATGACAACACTACCACTCCTGCTCCAATTTTGAAAAGATCATTTCTTACTATTTCCTTCATAGTAAAAATATTACGTTTGTGTATATGACCACGTAAATATTTATCCATAACACATGTCCGATCATATCGGAATATTACATTGCCGTAAAATTCTATAATATTTACAAAAAAAGTACCAATTTCATTGGTCAAGTCAACGACTTAAAGGACTCGACAGGTGGGAGAAGACAAGGTTAAATCATTCCAAGAGTCTATATAACCACAATCCCGATAATCCTGCACGATTAACTTCCTCCAATAGTGCCACAGTACCACCAGTGTGACGTCATGCGAGGTGCTGTAAGTACCAGTACCATCAATATTACCACGACGTGACCATTTTTCCAATAGATCATCCTCCTGATTCTTGCTATTGCCGTCCTTAAAATCAATGCTTATGCTCTCGGGTACTCGGATCTCATAAGTTCGGAAACTTCCTCCTCTTATGGGTCATACAGTCAAGGGTACACTGCCGGGTATTCATCCCTTTATCCCGGGTATTCCGGGGGATATGGCTACTACCGTCCAATGGGCAATTTCGGGTACAACGGGTTTGGATATGGCAGCTCTTACTGGCCATACTATGGCTACTCGGGGAGCATGTACAGGCCATATTACAGCAGTTATATGAGCTACAGGCCATATGGGTACTACGGGGGACTTTATGGAAGTGGACTTTCCGGCTATGGGAACTACTATGGCGGCTATGGCTCCAACTGTATGGGCATGTACAGACCCGGCTGTTACAGCTACTATAGCTACTACAAGAAATAATTTAATAAAAGGGTGTTAAATTCAAGTGTCTCACTTACCCCATGCTCCCCTACTAACTAAAAATTAAAAACATGCCCAAATTTTGATAATTAATCCGCGGAAGCAAACACTTCATGGCTTGTTTACTAATTATTTTTATGCTTGTTTTATTATTTAGGTTCTGGTTTTTTTTTTCATGAGTTTTTGGGTCAAATTATTCAATATTAATTCCCGCTAAAGTGATCGAATTTTCTCTTAGGCGGATGTGATAGTGTTATGCAAGGATTTGCAAATTAGGAAAAGTCGGTGGGAAGCTACCAAAAAAAAAAGATAATAGCGTGGGATTTGGCACACTTTTCACTTATGTTACGATTTATTTCTTTTCGTGTATTGTTGGATTTTCGATAAATAAAAAAAATGAGATTAATTTTTTTTTAATTCCTTGATCCATAATGACTTGACAAAATTACTCTCTTGAAGAAATTAAGACAGTGTTTTTATTACTTCAGATAATCATAGAAAACCCCGATTTCTCTTAATGACAAATATTTTTGAAAAATCTCAACCCGTTTTTGGGGGTAAGTATTTTAATCCACTCCATGACATAATTTTTATGCAATCCAATGTTACTCTCACTTTTCGCCTGAAATGTGCTTTCTTCGCCATTTAGTGGAGTGACCTCATCGAACCAACAAGCGATGCTTCTTAAAATCGTAAGTCCAAATTCCCACTCAATTGTCTCTAAATTTCCGAATTTTAGTTATTTTTTCTCGTTGTGACGACAAATCTGACTTTTGCCATCCCTCCAAATGACAAAGCTTTATTTGATGAGGACCCGGAATCCCGAATTTCGCATAAACGGCGTCCTTGTCGAGGCCGAAGTCTTCCGGAAGGACGCACTTTCTTTGATTGGTCCTTTCAATACGTTGACGTTAATTATAATTACAATTACAATATTAATTGCGGTGGGGGTGGCGGCGGCGGACATGGAGGAGGAGGTGGTGGTGGTCCTCAAAAACCCATCTTGTCAGGAGTCCTTCAAAGCAGTAAGTTTCTTCTTTTTTTCCATCAAAAATTAATAAAGTAATTTTATTTGTGTTTTGGTAGTTGGTAATCGTCCCACTGGCGGTGGCCACCCCCCAACCGGCGGTCTTTTAGGAGGTAATGGCATCAGTTTTATTCAATCTCAATTCCAAGGTATTTTTGCCGATGGGCAAGGTTTAGGGTCCCTCATACCTCAAAATATCTTCAACGGCGAAGGTTTAGGTTCTTTACTACCACAAGGAGGGCTTTTCAACGGTCAAGGAATATCGTCTTTGTTTGAAAATGGTCTTTTCAGTAATATTTTCAGTAGTAGTCAATCGAATGCACAAGCAGGGGTGCCTAGTAGACCTATGATCACTACACCTAAGCCTGGTGGCCAAGATCCTGATGATACTATTTATAACGACGAGAAACCTGTTCATGAGGATCATGATCCTGTTGTTCCAGATCACTACAATAGACCTGGTCAGTATCTAGTGGCAAATAATCCGATTTTTGGGAATTTCGTCTATGATGTGTCGGATTTTAACCCCAATAGGATTTATAGGCAGTTTAACAAGGAGCTTAATAGGCTGGTTAGGCCGTGGGCGCATCTTTTAGGCCGATGACATAAAGTGAGTGAGTTTCATAAACTTTTTATTGTTTATTAACACACTAAAAATGTAGTAAAAAAGTTTGTGAAATTCCTCAAACTAATAAAACATTATTATAAGTTATGCAACCAATAATACAACAGTTTTTTAAATTAGTTTATTTTTTACAGCTCCAGTTTACAGAAGACCAAGACCACCATATCAAAACAGTCGTTACACGACTTACAACAGAATCAGATTTACTAACTAACATTTTTTGTAAAAAACTAAATGTATAAATAATGGGAATAAAAAATTTAAAAAACTACTCGTCTACTACATCAACGTAATCGTCGTTTGGGTCAGCATTATAAGTGTCTAAAAAATCCTCAACTGCGTGTTCTTGCGCCTGACCCATGAAAGGTTTCAGCATGGGTCCATTCAGGGTCATGGCAGTTCCAACAGTCCCATCTTCCTCTGTATTTTGCTCAGAATTGTTGACCTTGACCGTCTGGTTGAACATTCTTTCAAACATGAGAGGATTTATGGCACCTAAAACATACCCCAAATCAGAATTACTATGGTTGAAATTCTGGAGTTTCTCGAAATGGTTTTTGGGCGACTTTTGGTCCACATCTTCATCCCCATTTTCCCGCAAGTAGTTGTGCAAATCGTTTTCGGAGGGTTGACCCATGAAGGGGCGGAGTAGTTCAGGTGAGAGCATCATATCCCCAACTTTTTCATCTTTGGTTTCTTCTTGTGTTCCATCGAACAAATTTTCAATAAATTTGCCCATTTCTTTGGTTTCTTGTTGCTTCTTCTTCTTACTTTTGTGTTTCTTCTTTTTGGGTTCGTCAGTCACGACGTTTGTTAGTTCGTTCTTCATTTTGAGCAACAAGTCGCGTAGGTTTTTGGCACCGACGGAAATTTTGGCATCTTCTAGTGTATTTAAAGCTTCGACGATGTCATCGTTGTTCTTGTTTACTCTCCTCGGCTCAAAAATGATTTTCTGCAAATCCAAATTTTTGGAATGTGGTTTGGAGAATCCCACAGCGTCCATTAAGTGTCCCAAACGGATGAAGTTTGGTCTCAAATCGCTCGATTTTCGGGCAGAATGCTCCTCAGCCAAGTCCAAAATTCGGGGTGTTATCAAAATCGCCTTGCGTGATCCTGTTTTTTGAACTGCTGGGATTTGGGAGTAAGGGATTATGAGTCTTGGGGCTGCGTGTCGGGCAGTGTTGAGTATATTTCGGGCTTCATGGGCTGCGTCGCTAATATGGGCGACTGTGTCTTGCCCAGATCGGATACTGTCCCTTACCATTTCACCAACCCTTTTAAAAGTATTGGAAAAAGGGTCGTCTTGGTCTCGTACCCTAGACCTGTGTGTTGCCCTTTCTGAAGCTTTCACGATTTCGTAATCCGATGGTATGATCATGTTCTGTGGCGGGATTCTCATTGCCGAAAGCAGGGCGTTTTTAGACGAACCCATCAAATGCTTCAGATGGTACATGGGGGCTCTCTCGTCCTCAAAAGCGTGTTTGGTAGCTGTGCCAAAATTCTCGAAGGTTTTTGGCACGTCGAGTCGCACATTTGGGTCGCTTATTAAGCGAGTCAATGGAATTGAACGCTTGGAAATTTTTCTTCTCTGGTCTTCAATCGATGATAACGTCCTGTTGCTAATGTCGGTCAAAAATTCCAAATCTTCATCGTTTTGGGATTTTTCTTTCATCGTGTCGATGATTTGACGTTGGACTCCAAGAAGGGCATCAAGGTCTTTGTCGACTGAGCGTTTGTAATCTGTCAATCGGCGATTTGGGACGTCGAAAAGATAAGGGGAAGTAATAGTGTCACTAAAGGGGTTGTTTTCATCTTCTCTTTGACTTGCTTCTCTCATATCTTCAAAATTTTGAAGAAACTCGTCTGATTGTTGAGGTTCGGCTTCACGGTAGTGCCCATAAAACTGGGGTTGAGACCCATAAGTGGGATATCCTTGATTAAACTTCTGGTTCAGTTTTTGTTTCAGTTTTAGTTTTTTGTGCAAAGTTGGATTTGCCTCTCTAGCAAGTTCATCATCAGCTTCTCGATAATGGCTGTAGTACTGTGGTGGAGGACTTGGATAACCTTGACTGAATTTCTGATTCAATTTTTGTTTTAATTTTTTGTGTAAAGTCGGACTTGCTTCTCTTGGAATTTCTTCAGAATTTTCAGCTTCTTTGTAATGGCTATAATATTGTGGTGGGGGTCCATAACTAGGATAACCTTTATTAAATTTCTGATTCAACTTTTGCTTCAATTTCATTTTCTTGTGTAAAGTCGGATTTGCCTTCCGTTCCTCAGAAAGTCCATCTTCAAAAACTGAGAGGTCGTTTTCGAGTTGTTTGAGCTCAGAATCTTCAATATCTGGACTTATATCTTGAAATTCTTCATTAAAATCCTGTGTCCTGGATTGAAATTCTTGCATTGTTGGACTAACTTCTCTAAAATTTTCCCGATCTAAAAAACTTATATCATCGTTTTGGTCAAAAGCATCAATTGCTGATTCCCTTGCATCTTCAGCGGTACTTCCGACTCTTTGAAAATTTTGGTTGCTACTAGTTTGAAAAACTCCCATGGGAGTTATTTGCGATGGTACTACTCCTTGGTGTGTTATCACGCCTCCATGAATAGGTGAAATGTGTGTTGGTACTACTCCCTGGTTGAGGAAATGCCCATGAGAGTGCAATCCTGAATTTAGGCCTTGATTTTGGTGTATATTTAGGTTAAGACCAGGCGTAACAACGTGAGTTTGTGAAATGGGCAAACCTGGGTTCAGAATTTGGGTCACTGGTAAAGGCAAATGTCCACGCCCATGAATGGTTGAGTGCTGGTGACTGTGGAAGTGCGACCGATGGGCATCTGCCTCTCTCTGTTCCGAATTTCTTCCATTTTGTGCTTCAAACCGGTCGAGTAGTCTTCGTGCTTCCATCAACTCATCTAGAGCTTTATTTAATGAAGAACCAGGTTGTAGGTGATTTTCTTCATTTGATCTTAGTTCAGGTTCTCCAACTAAGTGAAAATCTTCTCCCGATTTTTCAGCACTTCTAGTCAGGCCGTCTTCCATTGGGCAAATATGGACAAAAGTCGGTTCTTCATAATCAAAATGTTGGTCTAGAGGGGGTGGAGGAAGATCCTGAGGGTATTCTTCGGACATATGTTGACGTTTTGAACGACTGGGGAGAGTTGCCCTATTTTGATTATTCCGAACTTGATTTATGACTCTGGCAGAGTTTGCTCGAAGTCTTGCACGATTTGCGATTGCTCTAGCTCTAGCTTCGCTGATTCTGGCAAGGGTGTGGGGAAGGTCGGGGTCGGAGAGTGCAGGCAAAAGCACGCCGAGGAAAAACAAAGCGTGCAAAATGTTCTTCAAAGAAAAAAAAAGTTAAATTTTTGAAACTTTTTGAAAAAGTGGACTCACCATTTTACGTGGCACCACAAAGCACTTGCACTCTTGCCAATAGTTCGCTGGAAATTGTTGTGTTAAAGCAAATTTGCTACTGAAGCAATTCTGACTGACCTACTGAGGATCTACATTGCGTAATTTCATTAAAAATGCAAATTAATTAAATATGTTTATTTAAAAATATGTTACACAGGTAAGTATACAATAACGTAGAGGCACTTTATATACAGTAACAGCAAGAAAAGTGCGTAGTATCTGTTCCAAATTGCTGCGAGGAGTCAAGGTCAAGCACCTGACGATGATACCTGCAGCAATTTACCAAAAATTTTAACTAAGTAGCTTGAAATAAAACAAACAATCCTTGCAAGATTTGATTAATTCTACAAAGAATCGATTGGGGTATTTACAATTAATACAATCAAAAATCTTACTTTCATATAAAAGAGTTTGTCAAATTAAAATGCGTCTGCAACAAGCAAAACAGCAAACTTTTTCAAAAAAATAACGATGTTGTGATGAGAAGATCTAAATCCGTGTCCGATTTTTACAAATCTGATTGATCGGGACCTAAAAGTAAAAACTTGCGTTACTTTGTGTCGAAGAAACTAAGTTTGAACCTAATTTTATTTGCATTTGAAACAGTGACTGTTGATTTAGTCTGAAAGAGTTAATTTTATTAAAAAATCATCTCAAACCACCATGCTGACATAATGTGTGAAAATGCTGAATTAGTCCAAACTGAATTAATTTGTTAAGGAATCTCTAGAAGCAAACTACACCTTTCCATTAATAAAAGTACAAAAAGGGGGACAAAAACCGGAAGTCACTATCTAATCAAGCTTTGACAGTGTGTTAATTGATTAAACCCGATTTAGTGCAGACTAGGATCACAACTAGTGACTTTGTCAAATGCAAATAAAACCACTTAAACTAAAAGGTGGAGTTTACTCCATAGAGATAATTTTTCAATGCATTGGCAGTTCCAGGAATCTACTCGAAAAAGCCCCCCTTATAGATTACTGGACCAATGCGGTTTAAAGCCTACCAAAAAATAAAAACGCTACAAAATAAAAATCTACACGGTACAGTAGAAAAAAGGCAAAAATAAGACCAATTCTGTAGGTACCTCATCGCAAAACCGGGTCCGGTTTAAAACAATTTCGATAAATCCGCCTCCTCGTTTCGATCAAGAAGCACTCGTGACCTCGCTGGGTTCAAGGGATTTATCAGGGGATGGGGATTTTGGGGATTCCTCTATGAGTTTCATCAATTCTTGATGAACATTCTTATTGCTTAAAATTTTGGGACATTTCGCCAACAGCCCTGCTATTGCTCCAGTTTTATTCGAACCGGAATGTTCTTGCAATAATTTGAAAGCCTTAGATGGCAAAATGTCGTAATTTTCGTCGTATAAACGTTCAGCGTCGCTCCAACTGTCGTAATATTGTTTATAGTCGTTGTAAAATTCTTGTGGTGTTTGGGCAGGAGTCGAGCTTTCGGTACTATTTCTCAAAGGCGATAAGAAACTACTATCAGGAGTTGACAAATCGTCGAATTCTTCTTGAAGGATTCTTTTGGCGGCTGCTTGAAGCTTCTCTTTTGGCACATTTCGAAAAATTTGACCTTTCTTCTTTTTTAGAATACTTTGAATCAATTCGGTGACTAGTCTATCACTGACTGGAGATCCAGGTGATGTTAGTCCACTTGAAGAAAAACTTTCGTCGCTGGTTTTAAGTGGCAGACTTAACTGGTCGCGTCTCATAACAATTTCTTCTTTTCTAGCTTCCTTTTTTTCTTTTTCACCTTCTTCATCGTCTTCTTCTCCCTCACATACTTCTTGTAACAGTTTGAATAATCTAGAGTGTGTTGCTGCACGTTGATACCGACTCATTTTCTTCAATTCGGGAAATTCTTCATTATCTGAAATATGACGACTCATATCTGAAGTCACCCCAGAATCACCTTCTTCTTCACTAAACTCTTCAAATGATTTAACACTGCTTTTGGTCGAGGTTGTTTTGCTATTATGCAAAGTTCCAGTTTCGATCGCTGAAACTTTGTCTTTTACAGACATTTTAATTTCACTTTCTTCTTTCAGTTTCTCGCGTTTGTTGTTAATACTTTCTTTAAGGGCTTGAATCCGTTCTTTGATCGATAATGGTTCAGGTTCCACTTTCTCATTGGCGTTATTGTTAACATCGTTTGCCTTTTCCTCATCGGACTCACTTTCCTCACTTTCTTCTTCTGATTCGGAAGAAGAATCTTCTTCGATGGCTTCTTTCTTGGAATTTGATAAGCTCTCACTTGAGCTGCTATCTCTAGAGCTAGTAGAACTTGCATCATCTTCCTTTTTCTTCACTTCAGGTTCGGGTTCTTGAACCACTTCAAGTTCTGGTCCTTGAACCATTTCAGGTTCGGATTCTTGAACTACTTCAGGTTCATATTTCTTAGTTCTGACCGGCAAGAAATCATCTTCTTTTCCTAAAATCCCCCACCAATCTTGCTCCTCTTCTTCTTCCTTGTTTTCTTCATTTGGAATAGCATTTTCATCACTAGCACAAATCACAGATTGGGTTTCTTCTCCAGTTTCTTTTGCAACTGGAGGTGTTTTTACAGTGAAAACGGCAAAAGTGTCGCTTTCTTCATTTTCTTCGTTTTGTTCGACGTTGATTTCACTTTCGCCGACAGTCACTGTTGTCACTTCCTCGTTTTCCGTCACCTCCACTTTAAATTTCAAAGGCAATTTAACACTGACCGCGACTGAATTTTCTTCTTCTTCTACTTCTTCATCGCTTTTATCTGCGATTGTTGTAGAATCACTTAGTACGCTTGATTCACGTTTCGAATCACTCCTTTCGCTTTCTTCATAGATGACACTCAGTTGATGCGGAATTGTGTCATCGTCAACGATGTAAGAAACTGAATCGTCATTGTCTTCATCTTCTGATTTCTGTTCTTCATCCGAATTTTGATCATCGTAAATTTTAATGTCTTTAACCGATCGTATGGCTTGTAGACCATTTGGGTGACTTCGATTCGGCTGAAATCTCTCTTCTTCTGTTTCAACTTCGGTTTCGGATTCAGAATCAGAAGAATCTGATTCGGTTTCTTCATTCTTTTGTTGTGGCAAAGTCGGGGTTACAAGAATTTGAGGAGTTTTAGATTCTTCACGTTCAGTTTCTTCTCTCTCATTTTTAATTTTTTTGCTAAAGTATGCCATTTCGTCTGTGGAAGAATAACCAGCAACTTCTTCATTTTCACTTTGCTCGTAATAGGGGTACGGCGAGTACATAGGGGGGTACCCGTAGTAATAGTAATAGGGGTCCCAATAGGGCGGGTACTGATAAGGTACCGGTCCGTAATTTTGCTCATTGTCTTTCCCTTCTTGGGAGTTATAGTATTCTTCCACCTCCCGGCTTGGGGTACTTGGAGGGTAATACGCAGGGTAGTACCCCCAAAATGGCAGTGGTGTGTTTCTGGCAGTTTCTGAATCTGATTCAACATCAGGCGTTTTAGGAGATCGTTGCATGAAGGGGTATGGCGATGGGGGAGGGTAGTACCCCCAAAAAGACACGGGAGTTTGGCGAATGTCTCTATCACTTTCGTTTTCTTTGGAATTTTGGTAATAATAGTTATAGTAATAATCGGGCCAGTAAGGAGGGACAGGGGGTGGGTAATTAGGATCGTAACCCCATTGGTTATACGAGGAGGGGTCGTAGTGTTCGTTAACTTCATTGGCATTGGCTACAACAAAATAATTTTCGTGTTCAAATTTACGAAAAAATTTGGGGTAGGCTTCAAAAATGTGATCAAGACAAGTTAGTTGGACTAAAGAATGAGAGTACCATGCTCAGTCTTTCCTCTGAATTTGTCTGTTCTTGTTTGGTATTTACAAATTTGGTGGGAAAATGACTTACCACAACTGTCGGGCGCAGTCATGGCCTGTAAGATCTTAAAAGACCTGCTTGGTATCGCACTTCCGGTGTACTTTTTGGGTTCAGGAACGGTTTGTTCGCTAGGGTGGACGTAGTTTTTGGGCTGATCGTCTCCTAAAACCCATGATCAAAAAAAATTCTACACAAAAAACTGACGTACTTTCAATCTGGATTGGGATGGTTCTGACTTGAGGAGACCTGTTTCCGGTAGGTGGACCACGAGAAACTGTTGAGAAATTTGGTTAAAGTCAGTAATGACTCTTCAAAAATTCAAGAGTTAGTCTAAGCAAGAAAAAATAAATCTGTTAGAAAGACACTCCCAAAGCTTCAAACCATCGTACCAGGGGCACCACTAGGAGTATCAGGAGATCCATCAGTCATTGATTGGAGCAGTTTGAAAGCTTTTGATGGGATTGCTGGACCACGATATCTCGGGTCTACTTCGTTATGAAGGGAAGTATCATCGTCTACACCTAGGAGAGTTGTAAGTTAGCAAAAGCAACTGCTTGCATTAGTATAAAGAGAAAAAGAGAAGAATAGGACCCGACACCTAATAAATAAATAATCAAGTACCACTTTGGTCAAGAATTCGAAAAACTCTCGATGGTATAACTCCGCCTCTATATCTCGGGTCTTCCTCTTCTTTAACAATGTCTCTCCTGTCGAAAAATTTACCTTGTTTGAATCTATTCATCAACTCTCTGTCACCTTCCGACAACTTCAACTTCCTCATTTGCTCATTTTGTTGAAACTGTTGTGGATATCGAGGTCCATGTTCAACAACCGGCCCATTGTCAGTTTCGTCGTTATCATCAGTTTGAGTTATCTTCTGTATAACTTTGAAAGCGTTGCTTTGAGGCGGAGTCCAGCTTTGTTGACGATTCAAATTCCTGCAAAAAGTTTTAACAACTTGACTCGACTCAACACGGGTTTACCTTTCGTTTCCGGGAGTAACTGGAGTTGCAGGTTTCGTTGGTACTTTCCTTTCGATCTGTACAGGTATGATAATGGCTCCCTGGCCATCAACTCGTGGCCCTGGATGTTGAAACACTAAAGGTTGAGTGACGTAAACAGCATTTGGTTGTTGATCGTTTTGTTGGTTAGGAAATCTTTGAGGAGGTTGAGCTACGTGAACAACATTTGGTTGATTGTTTTGTAGAGGTTGAATCGGTTCTTTTTTAGCCCACGGAGGCAATTCCTCCGTTTGTTTCGGTTGTTTTTGCCACGGTTTTGGTGCTTCTTTCAAAGTTGGGGTTGAGGGTGATTGTACTTGAGGAGAGTCTCTTTTGGGAGCAGGAGGAGGACTTGATACGGTTTTTTGCTGTTGTTGATTGGCAGGAGGGATGTAAAGTGAGCCCAAATGGGCGGTACTTGTCTTGACCGCTGCTTCATCTTGACTTTGGTTCCTCTCGATTATCTTGGGTTGATATTTGGGAGGTTCTTGTTGAGCTTGGGGAGACTGAACCGGAGATGGTTGATTCCTTTCGATTATTTTCGGTTGGTACCGTGGAGGTTCTTGAATTGGAGGCGACCTTTGCTGCTGTTGAAGTGGTACTTGCTGCTGTTGAGCTGGTCCTTGGGGCCATCTTTGTTGTTGTTGTTGTTGTGGTACAGGAGGCGACCATTGCTGTTGTTGCTTCATCGGTGGACTCTTCACCCCCTCTTTCCCATAAATCTCATCAAGAAAAGTACTCCTAGTTTGAGGACCTCCAGTTTTTCTCAACAACGCCATCGGATTATCCGGAATAATTTTCGTCATGTCCGGCCTTTCCAAAACTTGATTTTCCGAAGTGATCACTTTCTGTGTAGGGAGGGGTTCAAGTGGGGGTGGAGGTGGTCTTGGGATATTAGCGGGTGGTGGAGGTGGTGGAGGAGGACCGAATTTGGGTCCAGGAGGAGGTGGAGGACCAGTCGGGAATACCTGGACGTGCATTTGGGGTTGCATTGCTGCGAGAGCTGAAGGTGGCAAAGGACCAACGGGTTGTTGTGGGAGTGGTCGTGAAGGTTCAGGAGCACCGGTGTAGTTGGCATTACGTTCTATTCTTCGGGCCATTCGGGGTGATTTTATTTCGGATAGGTCAATGCCGCCAGGGGTGTACGTGAAGGGCTTTTTGTCTTGTTTCATCATCGCGTTTTGGACGCACGGTGGAGGGTCCATTCTCAAGTTTAGTATCTGCAAAAAATGTTTTTTTACTTGAAAAATGTTTTCAAAAAATTCAACAAATTCGTTTCAAAACTTGCAAACAACAAGAAATAAAACAATTAAACATTAAATAGAAAAATTAATTTACCGATTTAATCACGATTATGTAAAGTGGAAACAGAGTAAGATTCAAAAAAGTGTCAAAATTATAATTGTAAAATATTATTAAAAAAAAAACAAAGTATAAAAAACTCGTATTTCAAAAATTCTATAACAATTTGTTTACTAATTATTACAAACATAAATCTTTCTTTATTGATACTAAAATATGTGTATTTGTGTGCAAACATTTGTAATTTTAATTACTCTTAATGGTGTTGGTACTGTATGATTTATTTCACTTCAGTTGTAATAAACTTTCATTAATTTAACTCTCATTAACCAACCATATTAATTCTATTTTTCTCTTTATTTAACTATTTCCTCTTTATTAAACAATTTTTCCTCTGATTACTTTTAACAAAAGAATAAATATTCACTCTTATCTAAATTGACAAACTGATATAATTCAAATTGTAAAATGTTTCAAATGTTTAGAAAAAACGTACTTATATTAGGTCATTATTAAACAAAAAACACGTTTAATAAAATAAAAATAAGAAAACAACAAATACATATGTACAGAGTCGCTAAAAAGTATAGATACAGCTAAATATTTTCAGAACGGTTTAGCAAAGCACGTTAAAATTTGGGAAACAGTTTATCTATTTTCTGGTTAAAGTTTAGGTGACAAAGAACTAACGGTTGATAAAGACAATATTTCTAAGTCTAAAAGAAATACATTTTTCCAAATTTAATTACTTCGATAATTTTTTTTTAAATAAGGTATGCATGTGTTACATCACAGAACTCAGAAAAAATGCTCTTATTAGAAATATTAAATTTGACTCTTCTTAACATTTAAAAAGATCAAGTTAGCCTACCAAATTTCAATAAGTTTTGATAAATCTTTCTTATAATAATTAACTGTATCTATACTTTTTAGCGACGCTGTATTTAAAAATATTACATTTTGTTGTTATGGTTTCATTCTGTTTTTTTTTCAAACTTTATTATTTATACAGAGTGCGCCAGAACTCGCGTCCCAGAGAAAAATTTCAAGTAAGATAAGATACCAGGAACATGGAAAAAATGTTTAAAAAATTTTATCTGTCAAAAAATTTTGACATTTATTATATCTATTTAATGATACTGATGATCTTGTAAGTATATGTTTTTTTACACATATGTAATAAAGGTACAAAAATTTTGCCAATAAAAGCCACAAATATCATTGAAGAGAGCTACAATTTAGGTTTCCAACAGAAATAAATAGAGTCAAAGTGCAAATTTAAACTCTCATAACTCCGAAATTTATATAGATAAAATTTTTTCAACATTTTTTCCATGTCCCTGGTATCTTACCTTATCGCTCCTTTTGCTATATTGAACTATCATAATTATTAATATTAATAAGGGTATTCTAGTAAGGGTAACATTAATAATTTATACCCAAATATTTTCAACACATTTTTTATTAAATTTTTAGTCATACAACTTTTTAGAAACTTGCAAAGTATAGCAAAACAATTTATTCAAGAAAGTGTTAAAACTATAGGAAAAAAAATTCCAAGCAGTTTAAATTTAGTCACACATTTACCTCTGTTTTGAGTCTAACGCTAGGAATGTGTCCGACTGGGGGCGGTGGCGGCGGTCTTATTCCTCCAAAAGACGGTATTAAACCAGGGCCAGCTCCAGGGAGCCTTGACTGCTGCCTGAAACAAATCAACCGTTTTCAATGAACACTTCACTTAACTTATTACTTAGAAAATACACTTTCATTAACGATAATCATCAATAATTAATAATCGGATGTTCGATGTTATCACCTTGTATACTAGTGCATGTAATTATCTTTAACGCTACTTCTTCATGGCGTGTTTCGCACCAACAACCCGAGCATGAAATGCTATCCCTATTTTGCTATAAATACCTCGAAGGAGTGCTAAGAAAACATTCTCAGCTTGGTTTGCTTAACTCTAAGACTTAAGCAACATGGGAGCTTTGGTAAGAATAAAACAAGAGTAAATTTTTTTCAAATTTCTTTTTTAGGTGATTGCGAGTATGTTCTTGCTAGGCCTTGTTACCACCAAGGCCAAACAACTACCACAAGAACCGTTAGCTTTAGCCCTCACCAGTAGAGGCATGGTAGTAGCCCCCATACATAGCGCATCACCTCCAGAACCCCGTAAACTTGTCGCAACGGCCACTAATTATGAACCATACCCAGCTAAAGATTACCATTTCGCAGCATACACCCCTGAAAACAATGGTTTTGTCCCAAGCTACCCTCCACCCCAACCCGAAGATGACTATTCCACCGAAAAGGGCGAAGGTTTCGACCAAGAGCAGTTTTTCGGCGACCTTAAAGGCTACACCCATTACAAAACCTCCAACAGTTTCAATTTCGAAGGCCCCCGCCAACTCGAAACCATCAACACAAAAAGTTACCACAAAGAAGTAGAGCCTTACGATGTGTCAACTTTCACCCATGAAGACCATCATGGTCATGATGAAGAACACGCCGAAGTCCACTACCACCAACACAAACATGTACACAAACATAACCACAAACAAGAACACGTCCACAAACACTCCGGTCAACACAAACACCAACACGGACACAAGCACCAACACCAAGGAGAACATGAACATAAACATTTAGGAGAACACAAACATGAACACCAAGGAAAACACGTACACAGTCATAAGAGCGAACACGAGCACAAGCATCACGGATCGCATCATCACAGTCATCATGGGGATCATAAGCACGATCATAAACATACGGGCGAACATAAGCATGATCACCATCATGGACACAAGCATTCGCATCATTCCGATCACAAACATGAGCATCATCAGGACCATAAGCATGATCATCATCATGATCATAGCCATCATGGTATGCACAAGCATCAGCATCACAGCCAAGGCTCCCACAAACATCAGCATAATCACAAGCACGAGAGCAAGCATCATCATGGACATAAGCATGGGCATAGCCATAAGCATAGTCACCACAAGCATTGAATTGTTGCAATTTTATCGAATAAAGTTGGGTTTTATTAAAGTTATTTTGGTGCTTTCATTCACTCCGTGTGGATAACCGAAAACCTCAATTGCAAAATAAATATTCTTCAATCCATTTGAATTATACAGTGTAACAATAATTTTACGCAACATTGCAAAGTCCATAAGTTAAAACAGTGTAATCAATAGAATTTCCTGAAGTAAGAGAAAGACGAACTATTCAGCGACAAATCGAAACAATTTGTTAGTACTATGTCTACGTATACAGGGTGCGTCAGAACTCGCACCCCAGAGAAAAATTTCAAGTAAGATAAGATACCAGGAACATGGAAAAAATGTTAAAAAAATTCTATATGTCAAAAAATTTTGACATATATTTTTTGATATTTGACATTTTTTTATGTCTATTTAATGATACTGATGATCTTGTATATGTTCTTTTTACAATTATTTAGTTAAGGTATAAAAATTTTGCTAAATAAAAGCTACAAATAACATTAAATAGAATTACAATTTACGATACAGCTTCCTTGTTTAGAATAGAAATAAATAGAGTCAAAGTGCAAAATTTAGACTTCCATAACTTTGAACTTTTTATAGATAATTTTTTTATAACATTTTTTTCATGTTCCATCTTACCTGATTTCCATTTTTCTCTGGGGCGCGAGTTCTGGCACCCTATCTTGTTTTCTCCTATTGTTTGTATATCTATTACTTTCCAACACATAACAAAATCAATGCTGCCTAAAATTATTCTTATACGGTATATACTTTTAACAAAATTAAGTAAATAAAAAAAGTAGTAGTAAATAACAATAAGATTTACAAGCACAAGATTTATAAATTTAAATATTTAAGAAAATTGGGAAATGCTTAATAAGATTATGATTAATATGAGTAAATTTGTCTACATAGATGGAGATAAATAACATTAAAATGACTTACAGAAATTTTGAAATCTTGATATGAACTAATACCGGGTGACTGTAAATGATTGTGATTTTTTACCGCAAGTTGGTATCAAATTAAAAATTTTAGTTTGGCTACCTTGACTTTCAAATTCAAACGTCAAATTTTTATAGACAATTGTCATTCATTTGCGACAGGCGACTGCTGGTTAGAAAGATTACCATTAATTCAGTGTTGCCAATACATTTTTTTGTAAAAAACATTAATAGTCACCGGTATATTTTACTCAGCTATTGTCACAAAGTCAAATAAATAAAATAAAATACTGTTTTGAATAAAAAAAATTTTAATATCTGTTCAAAATTGATGTATAACTGTTTTATCATTTTAACAACATTTTTCATGCCTATTGTTGATTATTTTATAACACTATAATTTATACAACTTTTTTTTCCCTTACGTAGGAACATGTAATTTTCTTCATCCTATAGACCATCCGCAGAAATTTGAAACAGATATTATAGTCAAATAACTTGCTTTTTGTCGATGATAATTTTAAATTGAAATTTGAGAAATTCTCAAGAAATCTATTTTTAATAATAATAGAAAGGCACTTATTGTGCATTCGCAGGAATTTTAATCAGATATTACATTATTTTAAATAAGTTAACTAACTGTAGAGACCAGTAATCTTTCAGAGCAAATACTAGAAACGAATATTAAAACTTGATAGAGCTAAGATTAAAATTTGCAATATTATAAAAAATAATAATAATTAAAAAAATGAAAATTTAAATATGTAATTCATTCGTGTTTCACACATATTTTTTCGTTGTTAATATCTGAAATGTACGTTAATCAAGCAATAGGTAATAGAAGAAAAGAAAAAAAGTAGAAAATAAATCAAATCAAAAGATTTTTAAACTTAATAAATCTTCCTTATAAACTACTCAATTTTGAGAAATATATAAATTAAACTCTCTAAAACAAATATTACAGCCACAAGATTTTTATACATTTAAAAAAAAATAAATAAAAAAACAACACTCCACGACAAAGTTCAAGCAAAAAGATTTAAATAAATTAGCACTGACGTGACTACCACAATAATTACTTCATTGCACTGCTTCTGCTAATTGCAAGTGTAAATAATGTAAGTGCGCCTATCAGCGCTGCTATTATAAATTTAAAGCTTCCATTACCCCATGAATGATCATCGGTAATTATAGTGAAAAGCGAAAGAAGGAAATTCCTTCAGAAATTGAAAAAAATAATTGCAACAAGATTTGTTAAAACTGTCTACCGCCACAATTAAAGCACGCACACAATTAATCTTTAATTAAAGATTTTTAACGTTTCTTAATGAGTTCTTCTTCACTAACCACAACTTATCTAGTGCACACTTGCATTTTGACAATTCGTGCGTAAAACTGGATAGTTAAGTGGAAAATGTTGTAGAGGGATCGGATTATAAAAAGCAGACGATGGAAAAAGTCGGCACTCTCAGCTTGGGAAGCTAAACAAATAAGTTTTTAGCACCATGGGAGCCAATGTGAGATTTTTCAAACACCCTGTGTATCATTAGTATTTTTTTTGTTTCAGATCAAAGCGAGTGTGTTTTTGGTTAAACTTCTTTTGCTTGGTATTACCGGAAGTGTTACTTTGACTAGTCCCAGTGGCGATTCAAAGTACTTCCAGTACTACCAGGAACCACCACTTTTGCACAGCGCAACCAACTACATAACCAACCCATTGGTTGGTCCCTACCCAACACTACCATTAGAAAAAGTAGACTATCAAGACGAAGTTGTTTACGATGTTGACCAAGACAAGCCCCGTGATTACGAAGATGAAGATTATAGAAAATACGAAGATGAAGCTGAAAAACACTCCATCGGTAGTAGAAGAACCCATTTCCAAGGTCACTTCCCCAAAAAGGACAAAAAAGAAGTCCATTACCACAAACACCAACACGTCCATGAGCACGACCATAAGCAAGAACACGTCCATAAGCACCAACAACAACACAAGCATGAACACAAGCATGGGCATAAACAAGAGGATAAACACAGCCACCATCACAACAGTCATCACCAACATGACCATCATGAAAGTGGCCACCACCAGCATCAAGGCCACCATAAACATGCCCATCATAACGACCACAAACACGACCATAAGTCCGAACACAAGCATGGGCATTACCACAGCGCCAAGCATGAACACAAGCAAAACCACAAACATGAGCATTCGCATGATGGGCATCATGGGCATGATCACCACCATGGTAACAGCCACCACCATTCCCACGACCATAAACAGGAAGACAAGCATTTGCACCACCACTCCGGGAAGAGCGAGCACAAACACCAACATAAGCACGGGCATCATGGGCATCACGATCACAAGCATGGGCATAAACATACCCACGGTCATAAGCATTCCAAACATTGATTCTGTTATTTGTTTTAATCATTAAAGGTTTTAATAATTTTATTGTGTTGACTTTCTCATTCTTGTGTGGGCGAGACAGATTTATAGAGGTCTTATTGGTACAGTTGTTGGTAGTGTTAGTCACCGAATACACGTAGAAATTTTTATTTTGGTTGAATGACTTGCGGAGTAAACAAAAGGATCGAGATATGGGTTTGTGGATTCGAAAAAATTGCAGGAATTCAAGGTTCATGGAATGTGGAGCAGACGGTGCGTTTTTCAATCAAACGAGAATTTTGCAAGTTCGTCAAGTTATAAAGTAGGTATAATTTGTAGAATATTAAAAAAAAAATTATTAAAAATTTTAGTCATAAAACACTGTTCCTAAAGCAAAAACACGCCTTTTTTTTCACAAAGTAATTATTCTTACATCACTTAAAACATTAACGAAAAAAAAAACACCTTTAAATAAAATAGGTGGAATTTGTAAGAATTAATGTTAATAATTATATTAAAAGTAATTAACATTGAGTAATTAACACTTCAATAAATAAAAAACTGAAAAATCATCAATTTATGTATTATTTCAATTATAAATTGTTCAAAACACAAATATTTTAGTCATAAAACACTGTTCCTAAAGCAAAAACACGCCTTTTTTGTCACAAAGTAATTATTCTTACATCACTTAAAACATTAACCAAAAAAAAACACCTTTAAATAAAATAGGTGGAATTTGTAAGAATTAATGTTAATAATTATATTAAAAGTAATTAACATTGAGTAATTAACACTAAATAAAAAACTGAAAAATCATCAATTTATGTATTATTTCAATTATAAATTGTTCAAAACTCAAATATTTCATTTAATTTTCAACTTTATTTAATTATTTTTTTTAACAACTATAAGTACAGGTCAGAACTCGCGCCACAGAGAAAAATTTGAAGTAAGATAAGATGAACATGCAAAAAATGTTAAAAAAATTCTATCCAATATACAAATATGCCAATAAAAGCCACAAATAACATTAAACAGAGTTACAATTTAGTTTACAGCTTCCTTATTTGCCCTTCTAATAGCCTGTAGCAAAAAAACTTGGACAATTATTTTTCCAACAGAAATAAATAGAGTCAAAGTGCAAAATTTAAACTCTCATAACTTCGAAATTTTTATAGATAGCATTTTTTAACATTTTTTCCATGTTCTTGGTATCCCACCTTCTCTGGGGCGCGAGTTCTGGCTCACCCTCTATAACATAAACTGCAAAAATAAGTTCAATAAATATTTATTTCCGCATAATTACTACTGATTTAAATCAGTATCAATTGTAAATACGGTTGTACATATTTATTATTACTAGATATTTAATGAGTTAATGACTAATAATTATTTATTTGCAATTATTATTTTTGAAATTAAATATTTTCTTGTAAAATTTTCAAAATTTCAATTAAAAAACTGTCAAAAACATAGACATATGTAATAGAAATTTAATCAATAAAGCTATTGCAAGAGTATTTTTGTAATTTTATGTCTGTCTGTCTATATTTTATATCTTACTAACATTATGTATGCAGTTAAAAAAAGTAGGTAGTAAAAAAGCTAAATAAGTAGTAAAATAACAAACGAACATCTTGACCTTTGTAAAATCGCTATTATTCCAAAAAAAGTACAAAAAAGTTGCAATTATCAATTCATTATCAGAATACTAAAGCACTAACTATTTATATTTATTTCTTTATAAATATTTATTTCCGACACATTTTACTATAAAACAACCGAAATTTTTGTATTTGCAGCACTAGTCTTGAAGCAATAATTATCGACAATGGCCAAATTATTACTAAAGGTAATAAACAAACTATTTATTTTGTATTAAATACATTGTTTCAGGCATTTATAATAACCGCTTTAATGGTATATTTTGCTTACGCTCTCCCTCAAAAAGGTAATTTATTTTTTTCAAAGTTGATATTAGAAAATTTACAAGATGTCTATTTTTAGAGGAGCAAGATCGAACCCCGCTTTAAGATTACGCATTTATAAAATATTAGCAAGGATACATGATACATTAGAACATTATATTAAACGATTTGCAAACTATAAAAGCATTTTTAATTACAAAAAATCCTAAATTAATAAGAACAACCACAGTATACAGTTATTTCTGTAATTAGGACTCATATAAATAAAAAACTGAAAAGTCATAAATCTGAATTTTCAGAGACAAAAACTTGTTTAAAAAAGTAATCGAAAATACAAACAAATTAGGTACCAATTTTAATCATTTTTACCGAATTAATTTAACAATATATAAAATATATAAAAATCGTATATTTAACCGTATGCAAACTGAAAATGGAGGAATGTTGAATTGAATTAAATTTCATCGCCCAAAACTATCAGTTCAAGTCCAATCAGAAGAAATTAAACAAAATTTACCAATTCTGAAAATAGAACTAGGCCAAAACCTGGATTTAGCTCACTTCGCTCACTTCACCACCTTGCAATTAGCGCACAAACTCTCAACTTTAAACACTTTACCTCACGTATTTTTTTTTCACAAAATCCAAGCGTCCCCGCGTCTGGATAAGCCCCGTCTCGTGACCGAGTTGGCTGAAATAATCGGAAGTCTTGTCTATTTTCAGCCAATAAATCCGACAATATTAACCAAAAAGAGTGCACGCGGCTGCACTCACACGAGTAAACAACATCGAGGTGAAATTCGAACGTGAGGTTTGGACTTAAAGAAACCTTGGAGATGTCATCTGGTAAATGGTAACCTTATATGGCGCATCCAGTGTCACTACTTGGAAAGAAATCTGGCGCGATTTTTTCCACGACTTTCGATGGCCAAAACCGAGCGTGAAAGTTATCGAAAATTCACACACGAGCGGAATTTTCAATTCTTGCAGTTTCTATTTTAAGGTAAAACAGCCTGGAGAGGTACACTTTTACAAAGTAACACAAAGTTTCGAAGCAATAAAGTCAAAATCGATTTATAGTGACATTTGTGACTTGACCTTAGGGCTTTACCCGGATTTCCTCCAACATTCAGAGGAGTTATGCGCGCATCTGACGCTTGGCAAGATGTATTGCAACAAGTGCAAAGTTTGAACGAGTTATTTGGTTATTTTCAGAGACTTGTAGTATCATATTTTATTGTTAAAACTACTAATTCAAGTTTTAAAACAAACTGTTTTCAACGCAAAATGCAAATTTCAAAAAATGATAGCATTTATCAAAAACGGATTTGATTAAGCAACACTTATTTTCGTTATTTTATAAAACAATGCATTTGAGATTGCAATAAAATTGTCTTATCGAATTTATTGATACAATCATGCTTTTCAGTAACAATAAATGAATCCTAAATTGGCAAATTCACAATTGCAAATAAACCTAATATTTTTATTGTTAATAAATGAATAAAAATGCGCCCCTTACAATATAATCTAATAGTTTATGGTGTTTTCTTGTCGTGTTTTATCTCAAAATTTGTTTTTACAAATTACCAAGAAAACGACGCAAAAATAATAAATATGCGAATATAATAAACCAGTTTGAAATTTCATTTCATTCATGTTTGTACAAAACTGTGTAATTTATTCCCGAGTAAATTTTTCTTTCCTCAAAAACTTCTTTGCCTGAAGTTGTATTACTGAGAAATAACTATATGCAAAGGAGTATAAAAAATAACTAATAACTGTTATACAAAAACTGTGAAGAAAAAAATTGAATTCTGTTCAAAAAATTATGATACAAAGAAAAAATATTGTTTGATATAAAAAATTCACCATAGGGCATAAAACAGTTGAATGTTTTAACTACCTACATTTATTTACATTTTTTATTACTTTTTTACTAAAGCTTATTCTTTTTTTAACCACTTCCAGAAAAGTATATAGGTTAGTATTTTTTCCATGACCCATTTCTTACTTTCACTGCAAATTACCTCTCTGTAAATAACTTCGGAAGTTTTAAATAAAGAGAAAAAGTAAAATAGAGTTTCAGTGATTTAAAATCCAAGTAAAGTACGTTGTTACTTATCTTGATTACTTAATCTCACACTCTATTTAAGTAGCATATCAACAGACATGACTAATCCCAACATCTCTTAAGATTCCTCGAGATATTTGAAAAATGTGCCGTTCACACACGGTACGCTTGTGAAATATTTTACCGAAGGAATTTCTTCAACATAATCGGTCATTGGTTCTGGATTATTGTGTCGGCTAGAGTTATTAGACGGTATAAATATTTGCACCTTGGAAATATTTCAGCAATAAGTCAGTGAGTTGTTAACATTTAAAACTCCACCCACTGCTACCACACGCAAAAATCGAAGCGATCGATAAAACAATACAATTAGAAAATCAGTTGGCAAAATGAAACATCAACTTGACGACAAGACCAAGATAGTTCCAGTGGGCGAGTCGACAATGTATTTCGAGGTTGTTGGCTTAAAAATATTACCAAAATATCGTTTCTGGACTGCCATAATTACCAAAACATTTAAAATTACATAGAGCAGGTTTCAAATTCTTGTACCTAACTACAAGCAATTGGCTAAAAATTAAGTCACGTGGTACGTTTGAGCCAATGACAGTGCAGCTTCGACCTAATTAATTTGACACACGCACACTGCGCATTTTGCAACTTCACTTTCGATCTAAATTCTACAAATAGATTAAACAATTCCAAAATAAATTGGCGGCCATTTTTTTTTATTTTAGTCCCACGTGTCGATATTCCATGTCATACAGTTCTATTTTTTCCAATAACTGAGTGATTTGCTTATACAGAGTTATTAATAAAGCTCAGCTCATGATCTATTTCAAAAATTTGTATTTTTCTTTAAGTTATTTTTGAAAAATTTGATTAGTCGTTTCAAGCACGTAAAACTACCCTAAACAGTATCAAAATCAAGCCACACAAAAAATACTCACTTAAATTATGCCAATGCCAACAAAATCTCTAAAACTAAAGTCTCAAAATAGTAGCATTTCGCATAAAAACTGACATTTGGCGCAATGATTCACATTGCATGATCGAGCCGAAGATTCCCGACCAATTCCAATCCCCGACGTGGCTAAATTTGGAAATGGACGGCGGGCGGGCGTCCCGACGCTTTCATAAAACGTCATTATCATTGGTCACGTGACATTCATAGACAATTAGCGCCGTCTTGGGCACTTGGATTTTTGTGTTTGGCGCCATCTCTGGTATTTCAGCAAAAGCGCGCGCTTTATAAATAGAGGAATATTATTTCAGCGCGGTTATAAATAAACTAGGAACAATTATAAGTCCGCAATAAGTTTAATGACATTTCAAAGGTATCGGAAACAAGTTCAAGCATTAAATTCCCCACTAAAAGGCTTTTATTAAGTGCGTCCTTCTAATTTATAAAGAGAAAGTGAAAAAAAGGCACAATTGGCGCCGGCTATGCGTCTCGATAAAACAGATTTTGTTCTTGTTTCAAATCGAATTAATTGAGAAGCATTTCAGATGCTAATTTTTTACTCAAGTTTTTTTAGTTTGATTTAGTGCTTGTAGGTTGCAATTATATGCCAGAATGGTTCGGCAGAGATTCCTTAATTAAGATCACAAAGCAAGCTTTGATTTATTGTGAACCCACATGGTATAAAACTTCAGATAAAATAATAGTAGAGCATGAAATAACTAAATTTTTATTTTTTTGATTCAGAAGATCAGAAGGTTATTTGGTTTTAAGTATATGTAAAAATAATAGCGTTGTATTTTCCCCAAAATAAGACAAAAGAGTAACATTTTTATACCTGTTTTTTAATAATTTTAGTCAAAGGAGCCGTATTTTCTGCTGGCAAATTTCGACACTACTTTTTGTACATTTTTTAAGTGGGCTGTAATGTTAAAATTTAAGTGACATTAAAAAATGTACAGATTGAAGATTTCTTATCTTCATAAACTACTCTAATTAATTGTGAAACAAATTTTGTCAATTTTAACATCCAATAAAGATCAAGGGACTTTACCAATTCGCTGTACACCCTGTATATTTTTATCATTTTGTGGCCGTATTCTTCCAATATTGACACACTAATGTAAATTTAAAAAAAAAACTGCTACCTACTAACACTATTTAATATCTAAAAACAGTTTTATAATTTTGATTTTTTATTAATTTCATATTTATCATATTAATTTCTGTTTTATTCAGTGTTTCAATCTTAATTTTAGAGGCGATTCTGATTTCGAATTTAATTTTTAAGGTGCTATAGTTGGATTGTTAAATTTTTATTTGAAAAAAAAACACAAAAACGTCATTTTTATTTATGAATTTTTTTCAGTAAAATGAAAATGTTAAATAATGTTGGAACAAGAGGCTAATGACATGTTACAACAACAATTTAAAGAAAGAATTAAACATGAAGTTAAAAATAAAATTTATAGCAATAATATTCACATTCGCAGAATTAAATAGGTGTTTATATGCGTAAGCAAATTTTATTAGATTTTGTGTTTCGGTTGCTGAATTTATAGAACATAAATTACAAAGTTTTATGCATAAACCTTTATTATCTGTCATAAGTTTTACAATTTTGTAGCAAATGCAATCAATTTTTGATTTTGTTCAAAATTTCTGTACTCTTGCAGACATTTTGTTCTCTTCAACAATCAATATTGTTGCGGCTAGTGCCAAATTATGGGCTAAAAATAACAAAATTACGATTTGTTGAAAACTGTTTAATTTTCAAACGTTTAGAAACTCTTCATCAATTGATAAAAACCTCAAAATCCAACTTCAAAATTTGACCAGCTGCCAAAGCGTAAGTTCCAACTTTTCAGGAAGAAACCATAAACGAACTCGTTACATCCAACATCCAAGATTTTACTTCTTCCCAAACGTCTAATTTTAATTTTATTATTGTTACAAGGCGTTGGAAAAATGGTAATATTGCTCCAGCCACACCAACAACCGGTCATTGTCATTTGCAATAAAATTCAAAAGCTATTAAAATATCGAATGTCGGGAAAACTTATGTAACAGACTTTTGTCAGAACCACATTATAAATCATCAACGATTCTGCAATTATCTTATCGAAATTATCACATAAAGCCTTAATTACTCTAAGGTACAGAAAAATAAACAATTTTTCCACTTTCTTTATGACCCATCAAGTAGTGCAATTTAGTGTAATTACCCGTCGGCCTTTAAGTGAACTTCCCATAACAAAATAATAAAGTTGCCAAGGTGTTTGCTTTTATTTTTGTCGATTGCTTTCCTTATAAAGACTTCAATGCAAGGCGAAGGTCCGAAAGTTTTCCCGGAAGGAAATTCACTTGTGGTTATGATGTAAATGTTTTAAGTGAATTTCCGTCTACAGATAATTGTACAATCATCCATACACACGTTGATTCATCATCCTTGACGATAATTTGCATTGTGGACACTCAAATATTCAATATTCTTATAAACAAAATGACTAAGTTTATGACACATCGTGTTGCTATCACGAAATAATGATCAAAATAAAAATAAAAAGTTTATTAGTTATTATAGCTACAATACAAATCATAATAATAATTTCAAGCGGAATTTACTCCTCTAATCTCGGATTAACTCTCCCGTTTAGCTTCTCTAAGTCTCCATTAGACCTGCAATCGAACAAAATAAAAAAAATGTTTCAGGGAAAATAAAAAACCTACGCTATTTGTTCAATGCGATCTCGGACTCCGTTACTCCTAACTACCATATTTTTGGGCATTGTTGCCAACATATCACTAGCTTTGTCATGGTACGCCCCATAGAGACCCCTCAAAGTCCCATAAACCAATTTTCGGACCATTGGGTCATTTCTGTCAATCTCAGGAGCCACCCCTTTCGGATTATCAACGGAAAACTTGGCAGGGGGGCCTTTCGTCAAAGTCGCTTGTAGTCTAGGCGGCGACGTTTGAGGCAAAGGGGGCGGCGGTGGACTCCTTGTATTATTTGCATTATTTTGAGGCAGTGGTGGCGGTGGGGGTGTCACAATTTTAGTATCATTTATTAAAAACTCTGGCGGTGGTGGCGGTAAATAATCCTGAGGTTGCGGTGAGAGAAACTCCGGGGGCGGCGGTGGCAACTCCGGGGATGTTCGCCCAATGTCAATTTTTGGTTTAGTGGCAATTTTCGGTTTGTTTTCTGTCGAAATTTGTTTTTCGAAAATGCTAATTTTCGAGTTGATTTTGTTGTGAGGTTTGGCTTCCTTGTTGTTTTCGAAAATTTTGCTCACTTCACTCACGGACTTCGGGGGTTGAATCTCGATAAAAATCTCGCTTTTTTTTGTCGGTTTTTCCTCAAATTTTGGTTTAACCGGATTGAATTTTTTGCTTTTTTGGTTTTCGATGAAGGTGTTGTAAGATGTGCATGTGTTTTTCGAAAAGTCTGTCACGTCTGAACCGATGGAAGACGATGTACTATTGCTGGTTGATAATGAAAAATTGCTTGAGACACCACTGTCTGAATTTTCGTCGTCCTTTTTTCCGGTTTTGTAACCGCCGAGGAAGTTTACGTAGTCTTTGTATGTCGTCGTCATTGCGCGTGAGTTTGATCGCGTTATCGTCGTCATTGTTTTTGGAACACTCGGTATATGACACTGAACGAAAGTGAATTTTATAGTGCTTCGCCACAACGTGGGTAACCGTCGACTGGAGCGAGTTTGTCTGAGTTTCAAGTTTAAACGACCGGAATTTAGATGATATCACCTTTTTGGTAGTGGGAGAATAATGCATTAAGTACATATTTTCCAAAGCAAACCGACTCGCTGATTTGAATTTTTTACACCGCGGCCAATGTTTCAAATCTAATCTTATCTAAATAACTTGTTTTTTAAATATTTATTTATTTGGAACATTTACTCAAAATAGTTTTAATAATAAGCATCAATATTTGATTGTTGCTACGCTTGAGTTAGTATAAAAAAGTAATGGCTAAAATCAAATTTTCCAAAACGATTAATAAAATAACTCTCAAAGAGAAAATGGATATTCCATGATTCGCTATCAATTAAATGATTCATGATATTTTTAATGACAAATGTTGATAAACAAGTATTTCTGTAAACAGAATACGAAAAATATAGAAAAATTTAGTTGAAATGTAAATATTGTCATTTTACACGTGTTAAAGTTGTAAAGTGACCATTTAAGTTAATCAAGACATAAAATTTTATCATAAATAGATGGACATTATTCCATTATGAATAAAAAAAATGGAAAGTAGGTGTCATTTGTATAAAGCTGAGTTGCCAAATACCTATACGTTGTCACTAATAGCTGTATCAAAAGTGACAAGTGACACTTCTTATTTTCCTTAAAATAAGTTAAAAAAGCGTCAAAAAACTTACCTTAAAAATTTAACAGTATTTTGATAAGTTAAATTCCAAAAAGCCTGAAAAGTAGAATCTCTGTATTAATCTAGTGTTGCGATTTTCGTAAACATTTCTAAACTCTGATCCTCAGAAGTGACATTTATTGCATGTTTTATTAATATTTGAATTAGCCAAATTTTATTTTTGGCAATTAATGTTACTTCGAATTTAGAATTAAAAAAACAAATAGTTTTTTGACCGTTTCCTATATTTATGTGTGGTTATTTTTAAAAATCGAAATTTTCGTTTTCCTTTTATTAGTTTCTTTACCTATAAAAATAAGCCAACTGTCGGTTATAAAAAATCGAATAATCGGTTATTATTACATAAACGTTCGTTATTCTGAAACCAGTTATCCGGAATAATTACTCAAACCGTTTTTATTTCGCGTAAAATTTTGAACAATGATTGATGATCAACACGAGCATTTTTTAAAAACTTTCTATTATTTGTTTTATCAAATTGTGAAATTTGATTGGGATTTATGCTCCCGAGGCAAAACATGACTCTCCTGTCAACACTATACCAGGTGAGTCATATAAATTATGCAAACGCATTAATTTCAATCAGAAAAATGGGCCGAAATTATCGGTATGATTCAGTACTTTCGTAAGTATAAATAGTACTCGAAAAGTAAATGACCCGTCAAAATTTCGCTTCCTGATGGTGTCACAGGAAGTGCCGAATTTTCAGACGCGGCTAATTTAGGAAAAAATGCCCGGAATTTGGTTTAACTCAGGTAAAGTCCAGTGGGACACTTATTTTTTCCAGTTTTTGGTCTAGACGCCCACATTTGGTCGGCTTCAATTTCTCTTTCAGGATGACTTCAACGAAACATCTGACAATCGGTGATTATTTTTACGCAATGAATCACCACGTTTCAATGTTTGATCAAAATTAATTGTTACTTTCGCTGCGAATAAAATAATTGGGTGTAAAAATATAAAAATTGGCGACAAAGTGGAAAAATTGCGTATAAAAAGATTCACGGCCGCTCTTGACCTGAACAGTTGTCTCGTTTTAAACCGTCAAACCAATGTCAAGATTTAATTTTTCGTTTCTGGTGAAAAAAAAAGATAGAAATTTATTTTCTGAATTTATTGCTTGCGAAAAAATGGTAAAAATCGCAACTTACATCCAAGGTCCGTCCGTCATTGTTTCCAGTTTTCAACTTTATCACAAAAATCCCTCGGAACACTGAACTCGACGCGTCGCGACGCTTCCGCCGTCGAACCAAGAGGAGAACTGTTGTCAGCACCGAGGCCGTTGCCTCGTTTTGATGTAATACTGGCCAATGGCCAAAAATCGAAACCCCGAAAAAAAGAACATTTCAAGGGCCTCCATCGAATACGTCTTTGTCTCTCTATAAATACCCCGCGATTTTATTAATAAAAAAATCCCTCGACACTCCGAAAATGACACCCAATTGGCGTCACCTCATAACTTTTTTTTTGGTTTTGTCTTGTTCTATTGTGTTTTTGTTGTGTCTGCAAAAATAGGTGAGATTTCGTAATGATTGAAGTTACCAAGTGGACGAGTTTTAAGCAGAGGTCGATGTGCTATGTAATGGCATCGTCTCTCCACTCTAAAAATACGCATTGCGATTATTTTATTTCGTGTGTAATACCGACGCCAATTCTTAGTACTTCGACCTTGAAAAGTATTTCCGGACGGACAAAATGGACGAGTCGGGTTTTAAAATTTATTCAAAAACAACACTACAGTAAAAAACTACACTAATTTGTAACATTTCAAATTTTTATCACATTGTTGTGATGACAGCAGATTTGTCTATACTAGTCTTGGTTTAGAACAAAATGTTAACCCAAGACCGGTATTTACACACCCTCTGTTTACATTTGTATAAAAAATATTTGCACGAATTTAAGGCCACTGTATCACAGGCACATAGATGCAGCCTTAAAGGCAAGAGTTATTGCGTTCTTGAACACAGTTTGAGATCTACTCTTATGTTTGTGCCGCGACAGCCAATCAGAAAGCTACCTTGCGTTACGTGTCCGACTACGTCATTCCCGTTCTTACGTTTGATTGGTCAAAATTAAAACTGAAGGCTGTCACGCCACAATAATACTTAAATTAATCGTATAACTAAATAACTGCCAAAAAATACCAGAAAAGTGGCAGCTAAGGAACTTATAAAGCTACAAGCGTAATTTTTAGAGTAAAGTGACCTGTCCCAAATTTGTTGAAATGACCATTTCCATAACAGCTTGAAAAACAACTTGGACATTGGCAGTATCAGTGGCAGTTGTGAAATGTGGATACAAAACTTTCCTCGAGTCGGCATTTTTAAGCACGAATTTGTGTTGTATAAAGAGGGCACCTCTATCGACATCGCGGTCCGGCCCTTTATAATCCGGAAAATAAAGCCTCAAGTGTCGCTGCGAATACAAGATTTTTTCTCTAAACAAATCAAATTTATTTAAAAATAGTACGAAGGAAGCTTCGCGAAAAAACGGGTTGTTTACAATTTGGCCGAAAAGATTGAGACTTTCGTCGAGCCGGTTCACACTGGGGTCCTCCTGTAACAATAATTTGAGTAAATAGCCCCTCAAAAGAGTGTTTTTGTACCAAAAGAGTCATATCGTAACCGCTAAGCGAAACGACAAAAAGCACCGCTCTGACGTCATCAAAACAATAAATCCATTTCCTCCTTTGAGACCTCTGTCCTCCCACATCATACATGCTGACAATCATGTCATTGATGCGAAAATGCGTCTCAATAATCCCCTGGGTCCTCACACGGGCCCTCAATACGTCAGTGGGTGTTGGCACATACTTAGGATCACAGATTCGTTCCATATTTTCAAATAAACTGAAAAAAAAAAACTTAATTCCGCACCGGCAAATAATAAACACATACTAAAGCGCAGAGTCGTTCAGTTCATATTCGTACCCCCTCGCCACCGCGAGTCTCACCCCCCTGTCAGACCACAACGCCTGTAAAGACGCCGCCACATTAGGCAAGACCATGAAACTCATATCAAAGCAACTGCGACTCATTAGAATAACTTGAGCGTGAGTTTTGTTGCGTTGTTGCTCGAGGTTAATCCTCAGGATGCCCATCCCAGCGAGCACATACTTCATAGAGGCCAAAAGGTTGTCCAAGACAGTGGGGCGAAAGCTGCTCAATTCGGCATGTGTGAAGCCATCGGCGTGGATTATTTTCATCTGTTTGACCAAAGTGCTCTTGCCGCTCTCGCCGGCGCCTGGAATTGAGCCCCACATAGTGGCAACGGTGCGAAATGGGGGTTACTCACCAAGAAGGAGGATTTTGATGACATTGCTCTGCTGCTTGGCCAATTCGCCCAACTGACGGTCGATCTCCTCAGAGCGCTTTCGGGCCTTACCTTCCTCACGTTCTAGCGATAAACATGCACCCATGGTTTGCACATCACGGAGAGTTTCATTAAAATTTAGGTTAGGGATCGGAGTATCATCGAAATCAAAGGCAATTCTGTAATTACGACACCACTGTTATCTTTAAACGTAATAGAGAGCACAAAATGGGCTATTTGTTGCAAAAGTTGAACAAAGGAAACGGGATTTTGTTTATTAAATGTCAATGTCAATTTATAAACAAAGACAAGTGGCGCAATCTATAAAAAATTAATTTTAAATAAAAGTACATTATTTAAATAAAATTATAAGATAAATCAAATTTAGTACGAGTTGTAATAGTAACAAAAAATTCTAGACGCTTCAAATACTTAAAAAAATAGTTTTTTAAGTGTAATCTAGGCAGACCGCAATACTTAATTAGGGTAATTGATTTCTATGTTGGCACACCTTCTGGTGGCGGTTTTCGTTTATCTGTCATCACTCGCCTGTCACTTTTAAATTGGTCGCTTTTATTTTATTTTCTTTAATGTTTTACGCATTTTTACGATGAATTCTTTGGAGCAAGTGCCGATGCAGTCGGTTTCGATTGGCCCCGACTCAAAACTATGGAAGATGAAGCAATTAGTGAACGCAATTCAGTTATATTTCCAAACGAAAAGAGAAGACACTGCTACAGTCATCAACATGCACCTTCAGGTGGGCTAAAAAGCTCGTTTTCTATGAGAAATTACACATTGTTTTAGAGTTTGAGTGTGACGATCGATTTGAGCATCTTTGATCCGCACTCGACTATCGCCCCCCAGTTTTTCGTCAGTCTCTACGAACTTATGAATAAAATGGAGCAAAGATCGTCTTTTGCCTGGAATTGCGTTGATGTTTTATCAAATGTGTGCCGGAATCCCGCTGCCCGACATGCCCTAATTCACACTTATCAATTTATACCGAGCTTATCGCGATTGTTAAATGACCAATTGTCAAATGAGAAAAAAGTTCGAATTTTAAGACTGATGCAAGATCTCACTTGCGGTATCAAAATCTCATGGCAAATCCCACATCTGCCCCACCTCATGATCACTCTAAGCAAATGGATAGAGAATTCAAATGAGGAGATTATCACACTTTCAATGGGGATTTTGGTCAATTTGTGTTATAAAAATTTATCGGCGATTTACACACTTTTCGGGAACGTGGATGTGAAGAAAATCCTCCAGATTTGTTCATTAATGAGGGTGCGAGTTTTCCTTACTTAAACTAACCGTAAAATAATGTTTTCTAGGGACCAACAATTGAAATTCACACATGCAAAATGTTGATTTTTCTCGACTACTTGAACGGCGATATTCCTGAAAACATTCTTTTGAAAATTACCAACGTGACATTTGAGTCGGTTGTTGAGGCTTTTCGAATAAGAGACTCGATTTTGTTGCGCCAAATCGTCGAATTTTTTCTTGATGTGGGTAAACAAAACTCACTGAATGTTTTAGTACAAAGTCAAGACTACACTAAGCAACTCACAGCCGTTCTAGACGTAAGTCTGGTCTCAAATCGTTGCAATATTATTTTTAAATTTTAATTTTTATAGATTATTCAAAATAATCATGGAATGGAAACAAACGATAGTAATTTCGAGAATTGCGAACCTGAGTGTTTTGCTCTAGTTTTTGAATTTTTGGGTTTTTTAACCGCGATTAAAGTCCCAGCGGTGGCTTCGATGTACCCTATTTTGATCCAAATTGCCTTAAAGTGGATTCACACGGATTTGGTTTCGTCTCAAGCTTTGGCTCTTTTGAAGTCAATCGCGGTAAATGTGGACGAAAATGAAAATGGAATTTTGGAGCCTCTCGTTCAGGGACTTCCGATTTTTTTGAATACTTTAGACAGCAGTCGGAATGAGGATGGACCCTCTTATGTTGAACAAAACCTAAAAATTGCCGGTTTGTTGCAATTGTTGCGGATTATGACACAAGTTTCGTCAATTCGGCCGAAAATTTTGGAGGATTTGAAAGTCTCAACGGTTTGTAAAGTGTTGGGGTGTCTCCAAGACGCTGAAAATGCCCCAAATTACAAATCCAATGACTTGGATATGGCCAATATCGACACAGTTAATCTCTACGTCCACGGAATAGCTCTAGTTAATGAATTAGCTAAACATGATATCACTTGGATGAACCTTCAAACCAATCTGATGCAACACAAGTAAGTATCAGGAGAGAAAATCTAATTATAAAATCTTGTTTATTAGACAAACCCACATGCTTCTCGCCCAGTGTCTATACCAAAGTTCAAAAGACGAAAAATCCCTCGTGTTCGAAATGTCGGCAATTCCGTCATTCCCCCGAAAAAGCGTCGCCGATGCGATGGTGTCGCTCCAAGCGGCGGCAATGCCCGACCTTAAACGAAGCTCCTCTCACAGCATCCAATCTCAAGACTTGAATTTCCCTGTCCTTTCGATTACACAAATCAACAAAGTCGATTCGCTTCTATCAAAACTCCGCGAGAGTTTTACCCAGAAACAATTTGGTTCGGTTTTAACCTCTGACGTTATTGAGTTGTATGAGTATAAGTTGGCGTCGATGGGGAATGCCGAGCGGGCCGCTATGGCCAGCGTGGAGGCGGCTTCTGAGAGGTGTACTCATCTGCAACACAGAAATGCACAATTGAGTGCCGAGTTGAATCGGTCGCATCAGTTGCTGTATCATGTCCAGCAGTGTCACGAGCAGGTCTCGAAGTTGACTGGAACCCTCGAGGAGAAAGTTGATACTTTAAAAAACCAGTTGGAGATTGATAGAGGGAAGTTGAAAGTGTGTAAAAGTCAGTTGGGGGTGAAGGAGGATGAGTTGAGTGAATGCAAAACTGAATTGGAGGGGTACAAGAAGAAGTATGAGAAGAGTTTGGCGGTGAGGAAGGAAGTGGAGGAGCAAAATGTCCAATTGAAGCAATATATCGCGAAATTGGAAGAAAATTCAACAAAGTTGCAGAAAGTAGTACAAAAGAAAGAAGATGTGTTGAAGAATGCGAATTTGGTTAGTGTCCATTGGAGTGAGTTTTTTATTGATTGTTTTTTGTTACAGAAATTGAGCGAGTTGGAGCAAAGTCTTACGCAAAAAGAGAGCCAATTGCAAGAGACTATAGTCAAGCTACAGGAAACGACTAAAGAACTAGATACGAGGAAACAAATTTTAGAAACTATTACGAAATTCGCCATGAATTCACAACGTTTGGAGCAATAATTTTAGATTTTATGTTGCATAATGGTCTTTTAATATGTAATTTTATAATAAAAGAAACGACTGATGCAAGAACTTGTTTTTTTTAACTTTTGTCACATTTATCCGAACGTGAGTTCAAAAACTGCGCTAATTTGCCACTACGGCGTTGCCACATTGTCTAACGAATAGCTTTTTTAAAAATAATTACGACAAAACTCAATTTTTCATTTAATTTGGAATGAACATTATGTTTTTTTTAGTAGTTTAATTGTCAAGCAAATTTAATTAGCTTTATTTAAAAAAATAAATTAAACGAAATTATTTGGCCATTTGGCGACGTCGCGGCTTGCACCACGTGGAGTGTCTAGTGGCGCCCTCTCGTCTTTAACTGCCATCGACCTGTCAGTTACAAAATTGGTTGTGTTTTCGTTGACAAATTTCTAATAGAAGCTGTCCGAAATGTCAGATCCGAGAGAAAATATCGTCAATTCCGAGTCGGAAAACCTGTGTGTGGTGTGTTGTAAAACGGTGGAAATCTACTCTGTGGGTATCTGCGACCACCCCGTGTGTTTCGAGTGCTCCACCAGGATGCGAGTCTTGTGTAACCAGAACGAGTGTCCCATATGCCGGGGACAGATGCCTAAGGTACGTCTCCAGCCGCAGTAGCTCTCCCTGACCTGTGCATTCCAGGTGATTTTCACCAAAGAGGTGGCTCCCTTCGCCACACTCTTCTCCAATTACCAGCACACAAATCTGCAAGATCGCAAGTTTGGCTTGATTTTCTGCTCGGAAGAGATAAAAAAGGCGTATCAGCAGCTTCTCGAGTTTCGATGCGCGATTTGCACCAAGGCGAGTAGTCGCAAGTGCACATTTTACACCTTCCAGCAGCTGAAAGACCACATGAGACGCGAGCATAATTTGGTTTATTGTGATTTGTGTGTAGAGAATTTGAAGATTTTCTGTTTTGAGAGGCGGTGTTACACGAGACAGGAGTTGGGGTACCATCGCAGGAAAGGCGATCCTGATAACACGTCACATAGGGGGCACCCTTTGTGTGAGTTTTGTGATACCAGATTCATGGATAGTGACGAATTGTTCAGGCATTTGCGACGCATGCACTTGTTTTGTCATTTTTGTGACGCCGATGGCAAACACCAATATTACAACTCGATGGAAGACCTTCAGAAACACTTCCGCGAGGAGCACCACCTTTGCGAGGAAGGAGAGTGCAGTAATATGCCACTTACCGCCGTGTTTAGAACCGACATTGACTTAAAAGGTACCAACAATTTGATTTAATTCACTTGATTGATTGATAATTCCAATTTTAGCACACATTGCTACGGAACATGGTAGACATTTGAGCAAATCAGCAAATAAACAAGCGAGAACGCTTGAATTTGAATTCACTCTAGCCCCAAGACCGGGCTCTGATAGAAACAAAAGACAAACGCGCATTGAACGGTAATTTTACTTGCCTTAGGTTGGTACAAAATTACATTTATTTGTAGGAGTGATGAAGAAGGTGCAGTTGGCTATGATACTGAACCAGGAGGGCCTGGAGGGGGGCTTCGAACCACCACTTTAACACCTCATGATTTTCCAGCTTTGGGAAACTCAACCGTGGCGGTTCAAAGTCGTCCTACTACAACTGTCAGTTTTACGTCAAAATTGAATACTTATAATAGCGATGATTTTCCGGCTTTAGGTTGGCAATAGTGTGATTTTTGCGTCTTTATTTTGGTATTTGTGATTTCTAGGTGGTACTCGGACCCCTGCCGTGACAATAACCACGGATTCAGCTTCACGAAAGAAAGGTCCAGGGGTGACCATAACGCGTACTTTGAGGGGTAGTTCGGCCCAAAATTTGACAATGAATCCGGAGAATTTTCCGCGTCTAGGTCCGCCATCTAACGGGACCAGTACCGTACATTTAAGTTTAAAGTGGGTAATTTCCCCGTATTTCTTTAGGGTTTTAATTATTTTTATGTTGGCAGCAATGTTAAAAATTCGGCACCGAACGTTTCAATTCATGTCAATCATAATGGTGCTATAACAACCACTCATATAACCAGTACGTCGTCACATTCTAACGGTTTTAATATTAATCAACGACCCGTGGAGGCTTTTCCCGCTTTAGGCAATACTTCTGTACCTTTAAACCCAAAGTGGGTGCAACAAAAATCAAAAAAACAAGAATCGAGATTAAGTAAAGTGGCACCAGCGCCATCTTTACCACCAAGTGACTTAACTCAGTTTCCCACTTTGAAGAAAAATGCGATGAAATCGTCAAGTGTCACCGTTCCGGTCTCCGGGACATGGCCTACAAGCTCAAACAGCAATAATAATAACACTAGCAAAATCAATAAAAACATCGAAAGTTCAAAAAACAAGAAACAAAAAAAGAAAACCGGTGAAGAAGAAAAGAACAAAAATGAAGAGAACAAAGAAAAGTCAAAGAACGGGATTGTGAAAAAACGTTCTGAGTTAAATATCGGTGCTTTGAGTTTGGATGAGGCTCGGCCGACGCCTCCTCCCGGTTTCTCCGTTAAACCTCCTCCAGGTTTCAACGTTAGCAATCAAAATTTCCCTAGTCTCGGTGCTTCCAATGATTTAACATTTACAAGTAGCAGCGGCCAATCGTATTCTATTAAACCAACAAATTATCACCAACCGGCGAATTTTGTGGCTCGTAATCAGAACTTAATAAAACGAGCCATGAACGTGTTGGATGGAGACACGATTAAGGAGTTTAAATCGTATTCGGCCAAGTTTAGAGAGGGTGCAATGATACCTGAAGACTACCACGAGTATTGCAAAGCTCTGTTAGGTTCAAGTTTTAAAGAATTGTTTCCCGAATTGCTAGTCCTGTTACCAGATATCGAGAAACAACAAGACTTGTATCGGGTTTGCGATGGGGATATTAGGAAAAATTTAATCGTTTGTGAGAATTGCAGTCAAGTCATTTTTAAAAGGGAGTTGGGAGAGCACTATAATTACCACGCTTTAGAAAGCCAGTTTCCCAGTTTGGGGAAAAATGTCGAGGCGACAAATGCGTGGAGGAAGTAGAGTATCCTGTTTTATTGTTAATAAAATGTTAATTTTATTCACTTGATTTTTCGTTTAGCTTGTAACTTTCGCCTTATGTGATTTGTTAGAACTAACAAGGTGATCATATGGACTTTTGAACATTGTAAATAAAATTCGTGTTATAGTTTTGTATGAACAAAGTTTACGTTTGTATTTTTAAATAAGAATAAAAGTTGCAATCAATTTTTGACTTGTAATTTGGTCACTAGATGTCACCTTAACATTCAGTTTTTGTTAATCGCTTTGAATAAAATACAATTTCTTGACTTGGGGATATTCTTAGAGTCAAAGCACAAATACTAGTATGTGATTGTGAAATTATTTAAAAATTTGTCTTGATCTGGTCCAAATTTCGCTCCTTTAGGGACTTTTGCGCATGCGTGTTGGCAGCGTTTGCGATCAAATGGTGAAAAAAAGCGAGTCTGTGGGAGGTTGCCGTGGTGTGGTGTTGTAGGCGAGCGTCCGAACAAAATAAATAAACTAATCTATGAAACTCAAGTGTTAATATCCCCCTTTTAAGTGTTCAGTGCCCCCAAGTGTAAAATAACTGGTTTTTCTGTGATTGCAACTGTCATTTTGGATTGAAAACAAAGGTAACTAGATTTTGGCAAAATGTCTCAGGGGTTTGTCTTCCTGTCAAAACAATGACAGATTGTTTCATCTCATCTTCAAGGCTTTTTTCCAAAAATATCACTAGTTTGGGTTACTTGTCCTGTTTCTAATTTAATAAAAAAAAATTGCAACGAATTAGATTTAATCATTGCTAATAATTCAGATCCTTTGGGGCTCAGGGGCTCCGCACCGAGTTGAATGACACCCCACACGCTAATAAGAAAATAATCGATTTTTCCGTTGGCATTAACTGTAAAACTGTATTTTTGAGTTGTACGCCTACCCTTTCTTTGTCTGCGCACCTGAGAAAAAAATCACACAATTATTCGGTTAAGTGGATCGTTACTTAAACCAAATAATCGAATTTATGTTTTTTCGCACGACCTCGATACTTAAATGTGCCGTAAAAATTGTATTGCTTAGGTGACTGCCGAGATTAGCTGAACTGAATCCACTGGAAAATACGTGGTGTATGCCATCATGTCTCATTGTGGTGGAGAATTGATAAAATTAGGCTGAAAACTGACGTCAGACACCGGTTAAGAAACTCCTAATTGACATTTTATGTCCACTGTTTGTGATTTTAATATTACGGAACTCATTCAGTCGCTATTGATTTCGAAACGTGCTGTAAAAGAAACCATAAATAGAGACATTATGGGATAATAATGCTAAGTAATCCGTAACTGTTTGGCAATAATCTCTTTGATCTTTGCAATTTTGTGATACTAGGGCCGGTTTGGAGTGATTTACCTAAAAATAACATACGGTTATTTAGAACGGCTCTGTTTTATCAGATGTTAAAACCGGTTTTAATAATATTAATAATTTAGGTCAAAAATCCCATGAAGTCTCGTACTCGCTAAGCTCGTTCGTCAACCAACTCCAATTCATCTATGATTCGATTATGAATATTTATGAAACGTTTTTCTACTTGAAGTACAATCAAGAATCGAACGAAAGTAGTAATTATCTTGCTCGTTGGGCACCATTTAATTAACTTTCATTTTTTGTTGTAATTATGGTCAAAGGTGAGATAAGGATACCATAGTTCAGCGAGTATACCGTCTTTATTGACTTGGATTCTGTGTCAAAAGGTTAAGAAAGGGTAATTTCGGGTAATTTATGAAAAGAAAATATCGTTTTTTTACTTTTATAACACTTACGTACTGTTATCTTTACTTAAATTATTATTATTATAAATTATTTTAGTTTATATTGGGCCTATTTTAATAAGTAACCTTTTTTTTTCAAAAGATTCAAAAGGTAAAATTAGTACAAAGAATACAGGTGCGCCAGAACTCGCGCCCCAGAGAATATTGCCATATAAGGTAAGATACCAAAAAATGTTAAAAAAATTTATCTATAAAAATGTCGAAGTTATGTGGGTTTAAATTTTGCACTTAGACTCTATTTATTTCTGTTGGAAAAATAATTTTCTATGTTTTTTTGCTATAGGCTATTAAAAGAGGAAACAAGGAAGCTATATCCTAAATTGTAACTCGATGTTATTTGTGGCTTTTATTGGTAAAATTTTTGAACCTTTACTAAATAATTGTAAAAAAACATATATAAGATCATCAGAATCATTAAATAGACATAAAAAAATCTCAAATGTCAAATAATAAATGTCAAAATTTTTTGATAGATAGAATTTTTTAAATATTTTTTTCATGTTCCTGGTAACTTACCTTATAGTAAAAATCAGGAGGGTTGACCGGTGCGTCATCAATTTCATTTTTTCATTACCAACTTAAAAGTGAAATAAAAAAATTCTGTCACAATGTAAACTGAAACAATTAAAGGGTCTCTAAGGTTGGTAGCCTTGAACATTAATTTACATATGTACTTCAACTACACCACGTAAATGTCATGTTCGAGTGAATTTGTCAATTTAACATTGACAGTAAAATTATTGTCGTCGTTGAAAGTCTTTTTGGTATAATTTGCAAGTATTTTTCGTTTATTGGTTGATTTCTTGCTTTTGTTCTGCGTCTCATTGGTTTCTTTTAATAATTCCTTTAGTGTTAGTGTAAAAAATTGAAATTATGAGGGGTCACCGTTAAAAATTAGCCCCCATAAAAGCTTCTTAACGTTTATTGTTTGTTTCCGAAGGATGTAAGATGCAACTTTGTTTTGTAGACGTCTTGAATTTCAACTTCTTACCTGGAAGAATGCAAAAGATCGTCTATAGTTTTAAACCCTTAAAAAAACTCAATGTAAGAAATTACTTGCCCACGATTCTTATGTTTATGATGATTTCTATTTATGAAATACCGATTTTGCATCCGTTTTCTTCTCAACTTACCCACTATTCTTTAGAAAATCGGTTTTATACTGATGTACACTAAAAATTTCGAGTTTTAGATACAACATCCAAAAACATTGGAAACACTGCATGTAGAACGTCATTTCCAATCTATTACATTAAATTTTAAATGCCTTTGCAAAGAATCCTACAAAACAACACTTTTATCAATAAACAACTTCTAACTCGTAGATATTGAACCTAACGTCAAAAAAAATTGACGTTTTGTCATCGCGATGTAAACGTGGTGAGGAGAAACGTCAGATGACGCACCGGTCAACCCCCGTGATATTTCCCATACTTAAAATTTTTCTCTGGGGCGCGAGTTCTGGCGCACTCTGTATAATATACAGGTGTTTTTAAAAGAATGTGTATCAAGAGAGATATCAACACGTTTACAACAATGTACACCTACTACATAAAAATTGGTTTTAATCAATATTTAACACAAGTCAAGTATTCTAAAATTGGTAAAATTTAATAGATGACTGACAGGTATTAAGACCTACGTTCAAGAAATTTTCACAGCACTTTTCAATACTTTTCTTATCTATGCATTCTTTTATAAACACCTTCTTGTATGTATTATGTATATTTTTAAATATTGTTTCGCGTTTGAAAATGTTTTTTCTACGTAAAAGTACATTAATGATTTTGATACTGATTGGAGGAAATTGAACAAGGGTTTGGTATTTTTAGAAAACGTCAATAAATTCAGGTTAGCCCTAATTATTGGTCGTTGGCAGAATTAATTTATTTACATTAGGGGAAATTTTCGTTTTTATTGAAGCAATTAATTTTTATATGGTCTGTAACCGTAATATTGACAATTGTAATTCGTGTCAATTGCTTGGTCTTAATAATTATGAATTTTTAATGACACTGTTAAAGTTTTAAAGGCTACTTAACGATTTTATCGATTGATGAGTGAAAGTATTAGTACGAGTAAAATAATTTGTATTCTTTTGAAATCTGACTCTTTGGAATTACACATTCCAGTGTTTTGTTGAATAAAACTTCTAATCTAACCGGACATCTGTCTGTGGCAGACGACACTTGTTTGTTGTAACGTTTGTTTGAAGTCATTGAGCTCTACATCTTTTACTTAATTGCCTAACAGTTAATATGTGTACTTGTCTTTTTAAAGAAAATAAATACAGTAAGTTGTAAAAGTCAACGACTAGCTTATAAAAGATTATTTTGTACTTAAAAGGTGTGCAAAGGAAAGAGGAAACGTGTGTTGGATGATTGTTTTTATCGCGAAACCATCAAGAAAATGATTCATGGTGTCCGGTTAATAGCCTTTCATACGACAAGGTTGAAGAGTGGTTAAGGTGGAGGGAATGTATTCTGAAACTGTGTGGTTTACACAATATGCAAAGTTTTTCTAACAGCTATTGTGACGAAGAGGAATTTGGTGTTTATCCCAACGGTTCCGGAAATAAAACTTCAAGGATATTAGCAATTCACAAATAAATTCATATATTCGTCATTATTATCGTTAATTATTTTTTTCCAAATTTATGTTTGTGTAACCTTTACGTGGAAATCCAGTCATTGTCTTGTTATTTTTAATCCAATTAATCTTTTGCAAATCTTTAATTGAAGATAGTAGGTATAAATTTGAACAATTCCGTAAGCAAGGAAATGCCTCTAAGCTTACTAACCGCAAGTCGACAATAAACCTCCTTATCTCAATCTCGTGATATGCGTTCTTTTTCCAAAACTAAACCAAAGACCGTTGCCCCCGTCAACAAAGACAAGTTCATCGTTTCCGTTCGTTTGTCAGCTGTTACCGGAAACGACTCCGTTAATTTTTGGAGTTTCGAGTAATTGAGCGACTTTTAGTTGACGTAATTCGCCGTTCCGGTAGAAAGGTAATAGAATGTTTACACGGTACTTGAGTAAACTTGTTTGGGGACGGAAAATATCAGAGAAAATGCTTTTAATTAATTTTATTTGGCCAATTATGGCAAGTTGACTTGTTTACTTTGAAGTCAGTGACGGAGAAGGAAATTGCGGAAAAGAATTCTTTGGATTCTAGTGAATAAAGGAAAAGGTGGTCAAGGTGATTTGTCTCGAGAAAGTATAAAACAATTCAGTAAGAAATATCGGGGAACAAAATTTAAAATCATTTGCATGCAATCAGATAAGCTTTGTGGCTTGTTAAACATGCGCGAAAAATTGATATTTTTACTGTTTTTGTTAAAATAAGGAAGCAAATAAGTGATTGTGTGTATTATTAAAATAAGTAATTCTGTTATTATTACACGAATAGACTTTTGTTTGTAGTTATCTGAATTATACGGAAAGTTGTAAGAGCTTGCAACAGATGTGGTTTCATTTTTTCTCCCAAGAAAAATAAACGGTTCATCGTTTCTTCTATTCGAATTTCCACTTCACTGGGCTTTATGCCAGGACGATTTATCTCGGAATCAATGAAATTTGAGACATAGGAATTTTGTCTAAAAACTAAAAAATGATTACTACAGTAGTAAAAAATTGAAATTGCACGTTTTTCTTAAATTAATTAATAAGAACAACTTATTTAATTTATAATATAACACTTTCATTTACCAATTCACTCGATATACAGCGTGTCCCAATTTTCGGGGCCGGCCCAAAAATAAATATTTGTAATTGATTAAAAAAAATTTACGAGTGCAAACGATAGAGGATTATATTGACTTCAATTTAGTGCTTTGATATTGTTCAAAATTTTTAGCGTATGGCAGTGAGATCATAAAAACCAAATTTGGAAAAAAATTCACTTAATTGGAATAATTTCTACATGAAAAAAATCCTTGATTTTTTCTAGTAATAATTGTGGAAATAGAATAATGCAAAAGTTGATAGGTTTTGAGTAATTAACATTTTAATATTGAAAGTCTGAAAGTTTCAATAATTTATGGTTGGGATTGTGGTAATTGGTGATCAGGCCAAAATTTCTTGACAAAAGAAAAAGGTGCGCAATGACATTTATTAGCAGCACATCATCCCAAACTTGGTCATAAATAACAGAATTCCCAATTTTCAATATTAAAATGTTAATTACCCAAAATCTATCAACTTTTACATTATCTAATTTTTACAATTACCATCAGAAAAAATCAAGGAATTTTATCATGTAGAATAGAAAAGATTCCAGTTAATTGATTGTTTTTTTCCAAATTTGGTTTTTAGAGTCTCACTGACATACGCTAAAAATTTTGAACAATATCAAAGTACTAAATTGAAGTCTATACAGGGTGCGCCAGAACTCGCGCCCCAGAGAAAAATGTCATATAAGGTAAAATACCAGGAACATGGAAAAAATGTTAAAAAAATTTTATCTATAAAAATTTCGAAGTTATGAGGGTTTAAAGTTTACACTTTGCCTCTATTTATTTCTGTTGGAAAAATAATTTATGAAAAAAGGAAACAAGGCTATTACAAGAGGAAACAATGAAGCTGTATCCTAATTGTAACTCTGTTTAATGTCATTTGTGGCTTTTATTGTCAAAATTTTGGTCTCTTTACTAAATAATTGTAAAAAAAATAAATGTCAAAATTTTTTGACAGATAGAATTTTTTAAACATTTTTTTCATGATCCTGGTATCTTTCTTATCTTACTTGAAATTTTTCTTTGGGGCGCGAGTTCTGGCGCACCCTGTATGTATAATCCTCTATCGTTTGCACTAGCACAATTTTTTTTAATCACTTAGAAATATTTATTTTTGGGCCGGTCCTAAAACTTGAGACACGATGTACATTATAAGTTTTGATTTAAAAATTAAAAATTGATTTTATGAATTTAAAATTGTAACAGTGTGGATTAAGACATGTTTGTACAATTGCGGACACGGAATTTTGGACAATTTGTCATTCTACTGATGTAAAACTGTAAAACGGGCCTTATGTAACTAACCTCACTTTCGGTTTTTGTAGTTTTGATTCTGACAGCTAGAGAGAAATGACAACAAATCAAAATAATTATATTGAACTTATATAAAAAACACGTATTGCTGGCATTATTGTTTTGGAAAGTCGACGACAAAAATAAATTTTTACTAAATCTTTCAAATTTTTTTTAATTTCAATCATAGTGACAAAGTGTGGATTACATTGACATTTTTTGAACTGACATAAATTTGATGTACATATACATAAATAAAATTCCGTGTCAGCAATTGTACTTATTAAAATATTAAACTAAATTAAACACAGAACTAAAAGAAAACCTGAAAACGTACTTATATTTATGGAAATATAATTTTTAGTACTATGTATTAAAATCACGATGTAGTAAAGATGGTGGTTCGACTCTAAGGCAAATTTGTCAACCACTTTGAATCCACCTATGTACTAGTTAAAGGGTATCCCGTCAGATGGTGCCACCGTCGACTCAAATTATTATTAGAATAAGAAAAAGTAAATTGTCTTTACAGAATGGCTACTTTTATTAATAGTATATTATTCAGKWGTTTATTWAAACAATTTCTAGTGTAATTTTTTTWAATTGTGTTCATTGRCAGCCACGTCGGTAACGCAGGCATCTGATGAGTTTTTGTATTTGACATMTTCAATTTGYTTTWCGAAAATTCAAGTTATAATTGAAGTTTGACTGCTTTTGAGCGTTTGTTTAGTGGTTCCGTTTGTGTTATTTTTATTTATTAAAAAGAAACTAACTTTTTGCGTTAGTGCCACCTGCCGGATTACGCGCGAAATAGATCATAGTTAAATCACAATCACCATGACAACGTTAGCAAAGCGAGTTGAAAAATTTCATTCATAAAAAGGCAGAGTCGAACCACCATCTTAACTACATCGTGATTAAAATAAGTTGATAATGTAGTAATTTAATCGTTTTGATAAAGAAGTGGTTTAAGAATTACGAAACAATTTTTCAAATTCGCATTGTTAAAAATGGTTTTATAATCCAATCTGTGTATACAGCGTATTTTAAAATGATTTTCATCTAGTCGCCTATAGAATTTCTTAACATGCAAATTTTTCTGTGCCGTTCTGCTCTTTTTGAATCAGATAGTTCTGTCAACAGTGACAGCTGTCAATGGAAATAAATTAACATTTGTGGTTAATGATAATCAAATTTTTTTAAAGGGACGTTTTTTATTTTGCATGAAAATTCCAAAGGCGTTAATAAATTCAATCAAAATGGTTCTTCCTTATTTAATTTAAAAAAAAAGACTAGTGTACAGGTTATCCAGGAGAAACGTTACAAGATTTCGGGGGTGAGTCTACAGGTCAATATAAGAAAAAAAGATCTTATATATGTTCGGAAATGCTAGGGAGCTAAGGCTCTCTAAAAATGGCGGGCAATATCAACTTATTCAAGCCGAAAAAATTTGCTTTGTAAAACATTTTATGAAATGTTTTTACAAATTTGGATTTGTCAGTTAATTTTCCTTAAAAAATGTCTTTTGTTGACGCACCGTTTAAATAATTTTTTTTGACCATCACTGTCATTAATTCCGAAAAGTAGGCCACGGAATGTTTTTTTTTTTAGTAAAGTCTAATTGTCGCTGTCGCTTCTTTAGGAAGTTTTTCTGGACTAGTGTCATATATTGTACATATTGATTTTGTATTTGTTTCTCAATTTTTGTGTAGTTTGTTTATCAAGATTTACCTAATTTTGTTCCACTTTTTCATCACTTTATTGTATGCTCTAATCAAAATTGCTTTATCAATTTCTCAGAAAACTGCCACGCCACTGCCTTCCGGTTCGAAATCGTTAATTTAAAATAATAAGTCATTACTCCAGCACTTGTTTTTTTCTAAGAAAAACTCGTTTAATAATGCATTGAGTTAATTACAACATTTCCCATCGCCATTCTTCAACCATCTGTTGAAATAAATTCTTCTTGTATTTGTTGCAGATCCTTCGCAGCGAACAAAAACAAGGACTTTAATCTAATCGAAAAGGATTATGGAGGGTATCCGATAACAGAATTGTTTTCGCTTGAGATCATATCAGTTGTGTTTCTGCATCATGGTGTTCATCAGCGATCGCCAAAAAATCAACCTAGTGAACCTCCTGGTTACTTTCGGTGTTCTTTTCGTCGCCGTGGACATCTCCTCGGGGAGTTTCGCCACTCGTATCAACAAAATTAGTGAGAATTTAGACAAAGCCTTGTCGCAAGTGATCCACCAAACGCCGGATTATACGAATTTGACGGACGATGCGACTTATGTTAGCGATGCCTATTTTAACCCTCGAGGAATGGAAGGGTTGTATAACTTCACCAATGCGTTCATGGAGTTAATTTTTTCCAAGGAGATTTATCCGGAAGGTGAGGCTTAACGGGAATGTGCGTTGTTTTTTTTTTTTTGCTTATCGAAGACATTCTACGACCTACTGACCGATCGTAGTGTAATTTTGCTTGATTCAGACGTAACCTACATTGTTTTCTTCGTGTGTCGCAACTGTGATTTATATTCAGGAAGTTGAAAGTTTATCGCGTTTTAATGGGGAGAGTAAAACGGTTTGAGTAGTGCACGTGTTGAGGAAGTAGGGAGTTTTTTCGTGTTTTTTGCAAAATGCACTCCCTACAGTTTCATGCTTTGTTTTAAATAAATCAATAAAATGGTTTTTTATTGTCGTTAGAAGATCAAAAATTGATTAAAAAATAGTTGAATTAACAAACAATTTCTTCTTTATTTCCAAATTTTTGTCAATGCCCTTTAATTATTTTGTACTTTTACCAAATGCATACAGAGTGTTCTATAATTGTCTTTGCAAACAATGAAAAAATGTATTATAATAAATAAAGATATATATTTATCTTCATTTACTTTTGATAAAAAAACAATAAAAGACAAATTAAGATAAAAGGAAGTAAAAAAAATTAAATTAATTAGAGGAAGAGTATAAGTCAGAATATTTAATTTTCCATTTTTCCTACAAAATATTCTAGCATTTAAATAATAAAACAAATTATTTTGCTGAAATTTAAGAATTAAAAACTTTCTACACGTGTTTCACCAACCAGGCATCAATGTGCATCAAGTAGGTTGCAGAAGGCTAAATGCATCTTTAATATAAAGGCCGATTTACGCAAAAAGTGTCATTACCTAATGACACTAAGAACAAATTTAATCACTTCAATAATGATAAAGATCTTTGTTTTCCACCCTATGTTAATTACGTTGTTAATTTTAATTATTTTTTGATACCTCAAAAACTGGGGTACACATATTTGAGAAAAGAATTTTTAGGGAAGATTGAGATTGGGATTGTTTGAATTTTTGCATGGTTGCCATCTTAAAACGATCCCTACTTTGATGCACATTAATATGAAAACGATTATAATGTTATTTGTTATCTTTATGATTTTAACACTAGTGATAAAATAATGTCATATTTTATAACTAGTAATAAAATTAAGCACATTTAACATATCACACATTAATTGGTTGCTTTTCACAACCAAATTGTAAAAATAATTTTTTTGCCATATTCAAATAATAATGCTTTTTATAATTTTCAAATTTCAAATGGACTTTTACTATATGCATACACAATTGACAAAACACAAAATTTCTAAAAGATAAAGATTCTAAATAAAGCTAAGGAAAGCGCATCTATTTATTTATCAAAATAAAGTAATAAATACGAATATAAAAAAACGTTTTCTCTTGAAAAAGAAAATCAATTTGCAGAAATTTAGGAACTAAAAATTTCTTGCCCGTGTTGCTCTAACCAAATTGGTAACACCAAGTTGCACGTTCCTTTTGTGAATATAGAGAACTGATACTGTAAAGCTTTTATTGAATAAAAACACAAAAACAAAAAAATTAAATAGAAAAATAAATGTTCTTTCTAAATTTATAAAATGCATAGGAAGTGTTTTATAATAAATTCGTAAAACACTAGAATAATGTCTGCAAATGAAGACAATGGGGATAAACACTCACATTTCTCTAAATTATTAAAATTGGTAATCTTGATAACTATATAGTTTTCTTAATGCTACTTATACTTTGCTTTAATTTCTCAGAAAAATGAATAACAATCCAGTTTATATTTTGCTTATTAACTGTTTGTTGCAACTTATTTTTGTTTGTTTTTTATTTTAGAACAAACTATACTTACAGTTCTAGAAATAATCAAAAAAGTTGTTTACACACTAATTTCATAGTTCTTTTTTTCTATAAAACTACTTGGCAATGTTAATCTTATCAAAACAGTCGATTAAAATCAAAATAACAGTTGCGTTAGGTACAAATTAACTTGTACATAATTGTTTTACGCGATTAATTACTCAGAGCAAATATGTATTTTTTTCCTGAGGTCATGATAATGCATTTTGAACACTATATTATTTTATAACTGTATGCGTTGTGAATATTGGAGAGGTAAGTAATAATTTGTTAATAAATGGTATCCTTGATCGCATAATTAGACTGGGAGATGATTCATTTCCTTTGTAAGCTACACAAAATGAAATTAATTTGAAAAAATTATAGCGAAACATTGCAAATATTTTGGATAAAAGATAAAAGCTGATAAGTTTTAACCAATAGAGTAAGAACTATATTATGATTCCCCAACTCAGTATTTTATCAACATGACGCAGTCACTGAAACAATTTTGTTATTATCGTTTTATACCTTTGCACATGATATCAGAAATCAATTGTTTATGTTAACAGTAAAAATATTGTATAGATATAGAGTACTGAGAAAAAGTTTTATGATGTAAATTTCTGGGTCGCACATGTTGAGGGTTAACGATGCATTTCCCTCGTTTTCTGTGCAATCCTCTAGCTTGCCAAGTTTACATAACCCATTTAACCGCATCTTTCTATTATTGTTAATTAATCGAATCAAGCGAACAGTTAGCGCACCATTGCATTTATTTATTCTCGTCGAACATTGTCGTAAAACAACTGTTATTTCGCTTTCGCACAGTTTCGTATTTCAAGCGCGAAGAATTCGACTTATGCAATGATGAAGTAACTGTCGTTTTCTTCAATTTTTCGATGAAGTTTTACCTTGTTTTTATTACACACACACACACATTTCGGAGATGAAGGTCGTCACGGTGAATGATTGCGTTTGACCTCAACAGTGCCAATAACTGGAACGGGAAATTTTGAAACTGTTGTTTTTTTCAGGTTTTATACGAATTGAAAATAATCAAATTCTAATCGGAGACATTGAAAAGGAATGGAAGAGTCTTTTGACGAAATATGTGGGACTTTTAGTTATGGTTATCATTCTGGCATTGATAATCGTATTTATGCCCTTCTGTGGATTGTGTTTCTGCTGCTGTAGATGTTGCGGCAAGTGTGGGGCGAGGTCTCAACCATTTGATAAGAAACACGATTTTTGCAAGAAATTTATACTCGCGACGGTACTCATCGGCTTGGGGACCTGTCTCCTGTAAGTTAGGCAACCAACAATACAAAAAAATTCTAATTAAAATATTGATTTCACGATTATTTTGCACTTTGTTGTGTAATCTCACTCACTGATTGTGGGATGTTGGTTTACAGATTTGGGGTTGTTTGTGCATTTGTTAGTAATCAGCAAATGGAGGAAGGAATCGGCGATTTACCTCAAAATTTACGAAAAGGAGTCACAGATGTTGACACTTATCTCGATACAACCAAAAAACAAATTGAGACACTTTTGAAAAAAAATTATGGCGAGTTTGAATCAGTCTTAACTAAAATGATTGATAGTGAGTTTTACATTCTTTAGATTTTTTTTACTTCATTGTGTTGATTGTAGATAGTACAGCGGCAGTTTATGGCGAATTGGTGAATTACTCAAATGCGATTTCAATGACTGAGGTTGCAAATATTGTTGAAGCACTTCCTGCAATTGAGGAGAAATTTATAACGTTGAAGTATTCGACGAATACGTTACGTGTCTATGCTTCACAGTTAAATGACGGTATTTCATACTCCAATTTTTTTTTCTAAACTGACCTGAGTTTGTTTCAGCTGTCAGAAAAGTTAAAAAAGACATGTTAAGCATTTTACAATTGCCTGGTTGCGAACACGTCTCGAAATGTAGCGAAATCAGTCGAAATATTAGCTCACTCCAAACAAACATCCATTTTAATAACGTAAGTTTACTTTTAATTAACATTTCTAAAACGTTCATTTGCCAATTGGTCAGTTAATTAAACAAAAAATTGAATTTACATGCAGTACATTGATAGGTACTTCCCCAAGGTAAGGTTTGGGATCCCGCAAATTAAATTTTTGTGTACTATGACTAAAATTGTTGACTTTTTTTAGCTCCCTGATATCACGGATAAAATCGCTAAATTGGACGAAATCACCAAAAACCAAACCCTCATCGAGGCCGTCAGAAAGGGCAAAAATGCCCTCGAAGACATCAAAGTCAAAATCGGGGACAAAGTCAACGCTACATTGGACAAAGCTCATGAGAAAATCAACGAAGCCGGTGTTCAAATCCGTCACGGTGCCGATAATGTCACTCAGGTCATTACCGACCTTAAGGCAAAAATCGACAGTAATACAAATCCGGTGCTAGACACCTCTGAACGCTACATAAAACAGTACAGTTTTTATCGATATTATGCCGCACTAGTAATCAGTTGTTTGTTACTTTTGATAACAATTTTCATCACTTTGGGATTAGTTTGTGGGATTTGTGGGAAACGGCCCGAGGGATACGGAGATGATTGCTGTAATAAAGGCGCCGGAAGTCAGTTTTTAATTTGTGGTGTGTTGTTCATGTTTCTGGCGGGATTTGTGATCGCTATTGTTGTTCTCGCGTTGTTTATGGTCGGGGTTGTGACACAGAGGGTGGTTTGTGATCCGATGAGAGATCCTGCGAATTCCCAAATTTTTGATTTGATCGATAGTTTGAATTTTTCCGATTATGGGATTAATATTACTGTAAGTGAAGCGTTAGAGAAGTGCTACCAGAATAAGAGTATCTACGAGGTTGCAAATTTAGCCGATAAATTTAATTTAGCTGAAGTTAAGAATTATTTGAATTCGTTTGGGATTAACCAGACTTTGGCCGGGTTGGATATAGGATCGCTCGATCTTCTTAATGATTTTAAACTTTTGAGTGACGATGATAAAAAGTTGTTAGAGTCGTTTGCTGATTCCGGATTTGCTGAAATTAATTTCGACGAATTTAAAGATTTATTGAGTACGAATTTCACAACGGTGAATTTGACCGATTTGGCTAATGAAGTGGGTGATTTAATAAAACAACTGGAACCGAAGCCGGAAGCTGCGGATTTAGTCGAAGGATTGCAAGTCAGTAAGATGAACATTGAGATGTATGAAGAGAAAATTGTCGAACCGATGATCAAAAATGCTTCTGCTGTGATCGATCTTGCAAAGGTTATAGAAAAAGATCTCAGACTTAATCATAGTTCGTTTAGTGACGCTATGAGGGCTTTGTTAGACGAGTTGACACAAGCCGAAAATACTCTAATATATAATGGAACTGATTTTTTGAACACGGTAAGACAATCTCTAAAAAAATTGTTTTTAAATTGCAGTTCTAGACTGTCATCGAATTCACCACTGGGATTGTCAATCTAGTCCAAACTTACATCGATAGAGTGGTCACTAAAACCGAGACCGAAGTTGGTCAATGTGGACCTTTAAGTATGGTCATACACGCTACGATGACGTCAACTTGTGACAAAATCCTTACACCTTGGGTACGTCAAAAAAACTGTTTTTTCTGACACTTATTTGTTTTTTTAGAACGGTTACTGGTTTGGTCTCTTCTGGTCCCTGGTTTTATTCATTCCGACGATTATAGTTTCAGTCAAGTTGGCCACACTGTACCAGAAACACAGTCCGTATTCGAGAGATCTAGTCGAAGCGTGAGTTTTATTTATTTTAGTTGGCACGAGTGCATTTGTGTTGTTAACTTGCTTTTTTGTTGTTATTACAGCGAATATTTGTATGATGCGTATGTCGATCGGGACAACATACCTTTGAATAGGTAAGCAGATTGTGTTTTGTTTTGCTTTTGTTTCATCTCATCAGTCATCTGTAACTTGTCGTCACACTAGCAGATAAGTTATTGCATTTCCATCAAAACATTTCTATTTTGCACGAATTTTGTCATGTACAGGGTGTTTCATATAATTTCACGAGGTATGCGTCTGTAAGATGCAATCAATAATACATATTCCGATACGAACTCGATTACAAATTTTGAAAAATTGAATTATCTTCTCTAGTTTGTTCACCCTTTAAAAAAAATACGACGTTTTTAGTTATTTAGTGATTAAGATAGATAAACTGGAATCATATTTATGCCGTCTCTTGATAGAACAAATGATAATTGTTTCTAAAAAACTGCAGTTTGTGACTATTAATGAAATAGTGATTAGTTTGACAACTACTGTGATGGGGTTTCTAAAAATTAAATAATTAAATGTGTATTTTTTGTATCTAGTGTTTTGTGACTTTTGTATATTTGGGTGCGTACATTAGGCGTAGGCCTCGTAAAGTTATGTGAAACATCCTGTATAAGGGGAAAATCAGCGAAGTGAAAACAATCGTCATTTGATTGTTATTAACTGTCTGATTTTCTCTTATAGTTATTGACTACGTATATTTTGTTGACTTTGTTTTTCATTGGTGATAAAGTGTCATGACCATATTTTTGCAGCAGGAACGGCAAGGCGAAAAAGAAGAACAAAAAGCACAAGCGTTACGAAGACCGACCTATTCCTTCGGCCGGGGGTGACATGGTGGTTCGCGAATACGCCGCTGGTTCCAACCCGGACGCCCGATATGCCGATATGGCACCCAAGTAAGTGGTGTAAATAACCCCGTTTTTATTTTTTGTTCATTTTTATTTTTTTATAGGCCAAAAAGCGATATTTTTGTAGAATCAACTCGGTTCTAATGCTTTAATGTTTATTAAATATAGTTTATTTTCTTAGTTGTGTGTTTTATTGCTTTGTGTGTGTCCAGCCTTATATGTGTTTGCTTTGTAGGCAATGGGAGGATTTTCCAGCTGGGGGGCCTCCGCAGTACCAGAGGGCTCCCACTGAGTATGAGAGACCGCCGCCGTATTACTACCCAGGCGCTGGGTGGGTACTCTGTATTTTTTTTAATATTGTTAAATTTTGTTGTTATTTTTTAGGGAAAACGCTCAGTAGACTGACTCGAGATTGGAGAAACTGCACAGACTGACTCAGCATTTTATCTCATCATCGTTTATTTTCTCATTCCCGTGAAGAGATGACGATCAAACAAACTTTGTGATTGTATATAACAGGGAGCAACTGTTTTTATTTTATAATTGTGATATTTGTGACTGCCAAAGTTGAAAAATTCGTTGCGAGTTGTGAGTACAATCATGAAGTAGGGTCTTGTTGTGTTTAGCACAATTTTGCTCAAGTTTTGCCCTAGTGTGAAGCTCAGTGTGGTCTGAAAGGTGTACATAGATATTTTCATAATCGATGTGTTATTGTTATCTCAATTTTTCGATAGTTCTAATTGTAATTAATTCGCTTCATAGGGCACGATCTAATCGATTCCAAAGTACTACACTTAACTGTTGTGCTCATTGTTTCTATAATATACCAACTGTAGCCAATTTTTGCCATATTCTTACTTGTACATGTATTTATATATTAGCATGTTAATAATAATTCCAATGTTTATAAAATACATACGAGTTTTAATTTACTCCTAGATTTTTTGCTTTTCCTAAAAATTTTAAATATTGTTTGACCATAGTTTACATTTTCTGACAATTATTCAATAAAAGTTATAGTAAATAGAGACGATTTTTATTATACTTTTAGATTTTATCACAGATTTCACCCCATCTCTTCAGCATATCATCCAGCTCATCATTGTTGTAATACACCAGAAAATAATCCAAGTTTAATCCGACGAAAACCGAACACACACTTGACTTGAGATTGTAAAAAAATAGCGGCTGTTGTCGCGACTTGAAATCTTTGGTTAAACTCTCAATGACTGTAGCTGCAGTATAATCAGCGCCATAAATGTGGGAGCAGTCGACAACAACCGGAATTTTTTGTCTCATCGATTGCTTAATTACCAAATTTCTTACATAATCAGCTGATGGGAAAATTAAACAACGGTCAGGTGTCACCAGCAAATAGTCTTCTCCTTGAGGACTCTAAAAACGAATCATTTCTAAAGTCGTTTAGTTTATTGCGACTTACTTTCATGGTTTCGATTGTAATTTTGGGCCTCGCTGCTTGATACAAAATATAAATTATGTTAATCACGACTCCTATTGAAATCCCGAATTCGATTCTCGTCACTAGACAGGATATAAAGGTGATAAGAGCTAACGCCAAGTCACTTTCTGTAAAAAAATCATTTGGGAGTTGCCAAATTCGATTTAAATCTCACTTTTGGCCCTCCACATGGGTTTTATGACTCTAATTTCGACCATAAAAATGGCTGCGGCTATTATAATAGCGGCCAAAGTCGGTTTTGGTATATACTGAAAGTAAGGAGTAAAGAAAAACAAAGCTGTTATCACTATAACCCCCGTGTATAGCCCCCCCATTGTCGTTTTAACTCCACTGGAATTATTAACAGCACTTCGTGCCAAAGCCCCACTCCCGGGGAATCCCTGAACAAATGAATTGGCAACGTTGCACAACCCAATCGCTAGCAATTCTTGTGTGGCATCAACAGGTTTCCCATTTGCTACAAAACCTGTATTTTTTGTGTTTTATTTCTGGGGGAATTACCGAAAGCTTTGCAGACGGCGATGTCTTCAAGGAGGCCCAGCAATGGTACGATTATAATTCCCGTTCGCATGTTGGTAACCATGTCGAGGAATCCCTCGTGCGTGTCGTTGGAGGTGTAGGAAAAACGTGGAGGCTGTATTGCGGGGAATCCTTCAGGGACGTAACCGATTACTTTGAACGGGGGATCCCCCAAGGTGCAGAAATAGTAACCAATGGCACCGCAAGCTATGACGAGGATGGCGTTTCGTGAGATTCCGATGAGGCGAAGGGTGGTGATGAAGACCGTTTGCCATTTCTTGTGGGTGGTTTCTCGGATTTTCACATTTGACATGATCTACAATTTAAGTTGGTAACACTGATTCACAAATTGGACAAATACCCTTAGTGCTAACAGAACTACCATACAAGCAATCCCGAAAGCGCAATCCCACAGTCTCGTATTCTTCACATCTGCGATAATCCCTTCCCAAATGTCTAGAAAAGTTGTCCCACTCGCCCTAATCCCCAGCAAATCCTTAACTTGCGACGAGACAATTATTAAAGCAGCTGCTGAAGTGAATCCTGACGACACTGGCCCCGATATGAAATCAATCAAGAAACCTTTAAATCCCGATTATAACCCTTCCACTTGAATCGTACTCACCTAATCCCAGGACTCCCATCACAAGTTGCACAATCCCTGTAAGCAAACACAACAAAATTGCATACTCTGGCCCTTTCCCTTCAGTCACTTGGTGCACTAAAAGGGCCATAATGGCTGAGGGACCCATCGCAACATCCTTGCAACTCCCAAAAATAATATAAACGAAACATCCCAGGAATGAGGTGTATAAACCGTACTGAGATGGCAATCCTGCAACGCTCGAATATGCCAAAGCTTGCGGGATTACGGTTAATCCCACTGTTATCCCAGCTACGAGATCCCCAACGGCGCAATTACAATCGTATTGAGGCAACCAATTCAAAATTGGGATTCTCTTGACTAGGATTTTTTTCACATTTGTACAATTTAGTTTTTTTCTAAAGTACGTCTTCAATGAGCGATTTCTTCGTGTTTCGTCCTTGCAAACAACTGAAAATTGTCCAGAAATGAAACGAAACCTTTTTTTCAATAAAACTTACAGACAAAATCGTTGCTTCCACTAAAGTGTTGTAAATCTAGACCAGTGTTTTTATAGACGTTGCCATTTTGGTCGTTTGGGTCTCCTTCTACCGACTCATTTGTTGCCTCCATCGTCTCAAACGGTCGGTTTTATGTTATTTTTGTTGTAAAAAGTGTTCGTTTTTGTATGATAATTGGCGGGTTTTGATAAGGCGCGTGTTATTGGACATAAAAAGCAATTAAAGTGAGGACGTCGGTGATAAAGACATAATTACCTGTGCGGAATTTAAAACAGAATGTTTTAATTAGTTACAAAATAAAGAAGGTGAAATTCTTTTTAAACTCAAAAAAAGTAAAAAATATTCTTGAAAACATTGTTACAAAATTTTAGGTGGGTGTGCATTTTTATGCCTAAAATTATTTATTATTTAATTATTAATTTTTATTTAAAATAAAACCATAAATTTTAAAACTGCCCTAAAAGTAGATTTTGTTGTAGAGTTATCCATATTTAATGCCGATTATGATATTTCAAGATTATTGGAAAATTTTAAAAACTCAAAATCAGTCAAGGGATTATTAATACACGTGTCAGTAATGCACATTTTTAATCCAAATTATGACGACATTCCAGGATTATGAGTAGATTTTTTTAAACTCAAATTATCCAAGAGATTATTAAAAAAATGCACATAAAAAAACGCACAATTTCTGAAACGTCATTTTCGGTGACTATTAAGAATAATTTTTGTTATTTAGAGTGTTTGTTATCTTTGGTTTTATACTTTTAACATTGAAATAATAGTTATTTATTGTAAGAGTGTGTTAGATAGCGTTTTATCCACGCAGGAATGTTTAACCGCGAGAACGTCAGGTCGAGCGGTTTATTTTCTTAAGTGGATAAAACGCGACTAACACACGACTGCAATATAACGTTTTATCCACAATCACAGGCCCAAATTATTCCAAGCTTAATTAAAAATTAAACTGACATTTAAATGTCACGTCAAATGTGCTTTCGGTTAAACGTAGTAAGCTGTTACGCGGTGCGCTGGTGCAGTGGAATAAAGTTACTTTATTCCACTAGTGGATAAAGTGGTACTTTGTACGCATCTAAAGTGTGGAATAAAATCTCTTTATAGAGTGATTGTGGATAAAGGTGTTTTATTTTTACTCAATTGAAGACAAATTTTCAAAAAATGAAATAAAAAGACGGGTTCTGCTCACCATAGAACGAATAAATTGGAATTTTAGGTCACTGTGGCTTTATTTTAACTGATTTTACACAAAAAATTATTTCTGGTTAATTTCTGAAAAGAATATTTTTAATTTTGTACTACAAATTAATTGTAGCTTAGAATTATTGTTATTATTTTGCATTGTTTGTTTTCATTATGGGAAAGTACAAATTTGAAAACACCTAAAATAGGTAGCAGTAGGTAGTAAGCAGGGGCGAAACTAGCCTCTGAAAAACTTAAAAAAAGGTGGTCAGAATTTTTTTAATCATTTGCTTTTAGAAACTAATAATAATTAATAAAAATCAAGTAAAAAAATGTATCGTGTTTTGAGTTATGCGATTTTTTTAAATGGTTTTATTAAGTTACCTATATGAATAAAATGTAGACAGTTGTAATTCTTGTATTATAGCCTTTGTTAACAAGGTTGCCATTTAAAAAGTTTAAAAAAATGCAAAACTCGAATACAAAAAAAATCAAAATTTTTATTTTTTAGTAACATTACATTTTTATAATAATAATCTATCATATTTCAGTTAGTTTTTTTTTAATAAATAGTTTTAGCAAAAAACGTTGGGTTCCATGCTTTTTGTTCACCTCTGGGACATGCAAAATCCAAAACGCAAGCGTTTTTGCTTCTCAGAAATTCTTTATGGGGAGTAGAATAGTTAATATTAATGCATTTTTATTTTTATGCAATCTTTTTAAGACCATGGGTTGTTAATAATATTTAAAAATCTTGGGGAGCCTCGAAATGTTTTAGGGTCTTGATTTGCCACTGGTAGTAAGTTAAAAAATTATGAGATACGTCCTCAGTTATCATATTGTATTACCTTTCTCTTTGTAACTTTATTTACATTTACAATATATTAAAAACTGTTTTAATTTGTTTTATATCTTGCTTTAAATAATTTTTTTAGTAATAAATTCTAGTTTTGCAATAAATCCGGAATAATTCGGTCACTACTCTTCCGGGTGTAACAAACTATTCAAGTTTTGCAAATTTTGTAATTAACCAAGGTCGTCAAGGATCAAGTTTAATCGAGTTTTAGGCAATTATTGACTTAAAATTAATAATTTTGAATCTTGTTTTTTTTTGTATAAATACGTAAAAAGGGAATTTGTAAATAAAACCCACCACTAAGTATAAAATGCTTCATTTATCACAGATATAAAATCGTTAGTACACTTATATATACACGAAGGACAATAAATAAAACAGTTCACAGAACTAAAACTCTAAGACTACAATACTGATTCTTTCACTCTAAATACTCTCAAATATTAAAAATTTGCTTCTTGATGTACGACTTGTTCCTCAACAACTCGTCAATATCCTCCCGATTGTAATAAACGACAAATTCTTTCGGCGAAAGGCCCTCAAACACCGAACTCACACTTGGTTTGAGGTTGTAGAAGAGCAACGGTTGGTCTCTGGCTGCGAAATCTTGAGTCAAGACTTCGATAACGGTAGCTGCAGTGTAATCGGCTCCGTAAATATGCGAACAATCGATCACGACGGGAATTCCCTGTCTGATTGAGTGTTTTGTAACCAAATTTCTTACGTAATCGACTGACGGGAAAATGAGACATCGGTCAGGTGTCAGCATTAAATATTCCACACCTTCATGGCTCTAAAATTTTGATTTGAAACTGATGTTTTTCAAAATTTTAGTGACTTACTGTTAGTTTTTCGACGGTGATTTTCGGTCTAGCTGCATGGTACAAGATGAAGAGGAGATTAATCCCAATTCCGATCAAAATCCCATATTCCAGGGGCAGGACTAGACAAGCGATGAATGTGCCCAAGCCTGGGATTAGGTCGCTTTCTACGAGAAAAAAATTAGAGGATTTTCAAGAGTTTTTGGACTTACTTTTGGTTCTCCACATTGGTTTAACGACTTTGACCTCGACCATGAAAATAACAGCTGCGATAATAATCGCAGCTAGCGATGATTTGGGTATGTAGTAGAAATAAGGTGTAAAGAATAAGAGAGCTGCGATGACCAGAATTCCGGTATAGAGACCCCCGAGTGGGGTCCGGACGCCACTGGAATTGTTGACAGCGCTCCGGGAGAGAGAACCCGATCCGGGGAAAGCCTGGACGAACGAGTTGGCAACATTGGAAATCCCGATTGCTAGGAGTTCTTGTGTGGCATCGACGGCCTTGCCATTGGCTGCAAAAACCCGGAAATAAAACAAAAATGGGCTTTGTGTCGACTTACCGAAAGCTTTGCAGATTGAGATATCTTCCAGAAGTCCAATTAATGGGACGACGACGATTCCCGAACTGAGATCAGACACCATATCCCAGAAACTCTCACTAGTACCATTTTGATTGGTACTGAAAGGTGGTGGTTTGACTGTTGGTAATCCCTGGGGAACATGTCCGATGACTTTGAATGGGGGTTCCCCATTGAGACAGAAGGAATAACCGATGAAACCACAAACAATCACCAGGATTGCATTCCGGGAAGTCCCAATAAGCCAAATGGTTTTATTGACGATTTTCTGGAATTTTGTCAATTCCCCGTTTGAAGGCCCGACTTTTAAATTGGTGACGACCCTCATGATTAACAAGACTGCAATACAACAAATCCCGAACACTGAATCCCAGGGATTAGTGTTGTGGATGTCTTGCAAAAGGCTCTTCCAAGTGCTCACAAAAGTCGTCCCTGAGCCTTGAATCCCGAGAACATCCTTGATTTGTGAGGTTACAATGATGAGAGCCACGGCTGAAGTAAACCCTGACGAGACCGGCCCCGAGACAAAATCGATCAAAAATCCTGAAAAATATTGTAAATTTTTGGGATTTTCCCTGAGGTGGCTCACCTAGTCCAAAAAATCCCATCAAGATTTGCACAATCCCTGTTAAGAAACACAGTAGGATGGCATGCTGTGGTCCTCGTCCATTGACGGCCTGGTAGGTCAAAAGCGACGCTATGGCAGTGGGTCCCATTGGGACGTCTTTGCAACTCCCGAAAAAGATATAAATGAAGCATCCCAGAAACGAGGAGTACAACCCATAGTGTGCTGGCAGCCCTGCAATGTTCGAATAAGCCAACGCTTGCGGGATTACAGTTAATCCCACTGTAATCCCAGCCACCAAATCCCCGATGGCACTCTCAGAGTCGTATTTGGGCAGCCATCCCAGAATTGGGATTCTCCTATGAAGCATTTTCTTGGTGCAGGCATTGCGGGCTTTGTTCATAACCCACGATTTCAGTGAGTTACTCGTTGGGTATTGCTTGTCTTCCACCACTGAAACAACCCCTAGGGTTAAGGAGGGTTAAGATTTGGGTTGGGGTAGTTACAAATGAAGTCGTTACTGCCTTTGAACTGCTCCTGTCGGTCGATGTCGACGCTTGTGGAGGAGACGCTGAGAGTGGGGTTGCCGAAGACATTCTGACCCCCGCCGCCTTCACCTTGGAGGTCTCTTTCCGTCTTCATGATGTTCCTGAAATATGGAATATTCAGGCCAAGAGCGGCGACAATTCCTCTTTCCATAAACGAGATGATTATGATTTTAGCTTTACGATATAATCATTGCTACAATTATGTTTCAAGGTGATATCGGTTGCGATTTTTACTTTTATTTATTTTTTAACAAAAGTCCAATTTCTACGATGTTGTGTAACCGTGTTTCATTTTGTGGCGCTAATTTGCAACTTATCAGGACAATAAATATCATCCAGTGATGATTTAATTTCTTGCAAATCGTCTTAATTTGTAAAAATTTACATTTTAATTCACACCAGTGATTATATTAGAATTTTTCCAAGTCGAATATTTTATGCGTAATAATATTTATTTTTCAAAATTTATAACTGGTCTTGGCATAAAAATAATAAAAAAGCTGATTGACTGCTTTAACAAATCATATCAAATCATAAGTTCAAAATTTCAGTGCCATTATTTGTTTATTACTAAAAAATAGTCACAGATGTAGTTTATTTAAGGACTGTTTTACAGTAATTTCTTAATTAATTATAATATTTATAATTCATTTAAATGTGTAAAAAATTACATTAGAAAAAAAAGTTGCCACAGGTTCTTTCATGTTTTTTACTTTTTCAATAAAAATTATAAAATAAAATGTTTTTCAATCCATGGATTTCTTAGTTTGTGCTTCGGAAGATGTGTATTTTTTATTTATTCGTTTGTTTGTTAACAAGATCTTCAAAAAAATAAAAAATAAATAAGCAATTTTTTCGACTTAAAATCACATTGTTATTTCTTG